GTAGGGCGTGAACAAGCGACGGTCGTTGTCTTTGTATTCGTCTCCGTAGCTGTTTGAATAGTTGTCGACCAAGAGTATCTGGTGGATGTCGAAGATGCGGTTGTTGGTGCTTTGGAACGAGACCATGCGCTTTCTTGACCAACTCCTTCGTAACAAACAGGTAGTTCAGCTTGGGCTGCCATCTTTGAATGAGGCAATGCTCTTCGGCCCAGGCGTCAATGTACTCTGAGTGCTGCGAAAGGAGAATGGTGCTGTAGTGCTGGTAGGTCTGAGAGTCATTCCAAGACCTGATGGCAATCTCTGTCTTGGGTAGCTTGGGTTGTTGTAGTTGTCGTAGTTTGGCGACCCGGTTGTACTCTCTCTTGGCGACGGTGATGTTGATGGATCCAATGTAGCAAAAGGCCGCATCTCTGGTTGCAGTTGCGTAAGTTTGCTTGTTGAGCCGTGGGAATAAAAGTTTGATGTACACGGCACAGGGCTGGGAGAATTTGTCGAACGTGTATAGCTCTGGAACCGCGCCTTTTTCTCGGAGTCTCTCTTTGAGTTGTTGCGCTGCAGGCGATTGCCGCATTCGATGAAATCTGAATACTAAATGAATTAGACCAACTAACCACATCAAAACTTCTTTGCTAATAGCAGGAACATGAAAAAGCAAAAACTGCCCCCAATCCACTATCTGCTGTAGTCGCTGGAAGATGCTGGCACTTTCTTGATGCGTCAGTGGCCCTCTCAGGACCTTTTGCACGTATCACACAGCAAGGTAGGTGACCGCCGCAATGAGCTGCTGGAGGTTCTTAGGCGATGCCTTTGGTGCTGTCGTGAGTGACAGCGGTAGTCCCCATCTCGTGGCCATCTCTTGCAGCTCCGCCTTGGTGTGCTTGGCATTTTCAAGGATCGTCTGCATGGATTGGATGTGGATGTCAACCTCTGCGTGCTTGTCCCGAGGAAGGCTCTTTTTGAGGGCACTGACCCAGGTTGTAATCGATGTCATACTGGTCGGCGGCTCGTGTCCACTTGCTCGAATAACGTTGTGGGGCTCGGCCAGGATGTCCTCGTTGCGCTTCTGAGCGGCACCTTTGGTGAGGCGTCTGCGCTTTGGTGGCTTTGCTGCTGCGTCAGGGCCATCTGTTGGTTCATCTTGTAGTGGGAGCTCTTTCTGGGGGGTGACGTCTATGCCGGCACTGCGTAGGCGCTGTTTGTATCTCGCGGCCTTTTCTTCGAGGGCTTGCATGCGTTGGGCTGCTTGATTGTCGCTGTCCGGGTTCTTGACGGCGTAGTTGCGAACTTGCGCCCATGGCTTTATGGCCTCAAAGATGGTGTCCACCAGGGGGGTAACGAACGATGTAGCTTCTTTGACCTTGTCCGGAGCTTTTTCGTTCCTGTCCTTGTAGATGGCCTCGATGGTGGAGTCAAAGTCGATGTTGTTCTGGCGGAGCTTCTTTTGGAGCTGGGAAAGGAAGACGCTCTCAGCGATGTTCCGAGTTAAAATCATGCCGGTGAACTTGCCGTGGGAAAGTCCGCGGAGCCCAAACTCTTCCATGACATGCCTGCAAAGACGGGCGACTGTGACATCCCGTATGTCCATGCCTGCGAGGCCCTTGGCGCGACTCCACGCTGTCGGTTCCACGTTCTTCCGGAGTGTGGACTTGAAGACGAGGTTGGTGTCGTAGTGCTCGGAGTCTTCCTTGAACTGGCTGGGCAATGGAACTCTTGCCGATGATGTGGGCGGAGCTGCTGTGCTTGGAGCTTCCGGGGGTGTACTTGGCGGCGGTAATGGCGCTGTCTGTGCTGGCGGGTTGTTGGGAGGAGGTAGTTGCGGCCATGCCGGCAGTATCGGTGGCCACCATGTGTTTTCGCTGTGACCCGATGCGGCGCTCGCTGCGCCTCTGCTGTCTGGGTTTTGCGACTGCCACCAAGCTGGGTCCTGCGATCCTTGCGACCAATATCCGGTCCACGCATTGGCCATTCTTTTGCGAGGCTGGCTGTAGATGTTATGCATACACCGTCTTGACAAAAGGCTACCGAAGCAATCAAAAGCAAACAAAAGCTGCAACTACTACACCAAAAAGGCAAAAAAACGCAAGAGTTACTTAGGGAATTAGAGCAGGCGGCGCATGTGCATCTTTTGCTGCGAAGAATGTACGTCGTAGGCGTCGCAGCTTGTTGCTGAGCATGGGTAGGAAGACATGCGGCTGTTGCCAAGGGCGTGGAAGAGCTGCAGTTTTTTCATCTTACAGAAGTGCGAGTCGAGCTCTTCCCTGAGGGGTAATGCCTGCAGCTTTCTGGTACTGGGAGATGAGGGTGTTTGCTGTAGATGGTGGCGTCATCAGCTGCTCGAAAGCAATGCATGTAAAGCAATATCTGTTGCGAGATACACAATAAGCTTTTGCATTCGCATCTTTGAGCACCTCATCCTCTTCAGTGGCTGCCCTAGCTGTTTCATAGGATCCACCGAGGTGCTTGCGCAAGGATCCCCAAGCTCGGCCGCCTACAAAAATGCCCGCCAGATTCTTGGCGCTCCGGGTGGTGTTGAAGATCACACGGGTCAGGTTATGTTCGTCGATGTCCGACCCGGACATTTCGTGGCCTAGCGCGTAAAATATGTTGCAGCCGAAGGCCGCCACTCCATGCGCGTTCATCGGATGCATGTCACGCTGCTTCAACATATGCCATAATGCCCCCACATCTGTTGCGTGCGACCAGAACAAAATCTTCTCTTGCCGCGTTGGTAGAGGAGGGTCTTGCAGAGCGAGATCTGAAGATTGCAAGAAATAGAATCTCCGCATGGTCTCAGGCGTTGGATCTCCTCCTCTGTCCCAGGTGAGGTCATGCTCCAGGAGGACTCCCGAGTTAATTCTGAACTCTGCTGCAGCGCAGAGCGCGTCCACATACTGCTTGGTAGAGTCATGAATGGGAAACTGCGGGATCTCGATGTCCTTCCAATTGACCCGGAACTGCTTGATGTTCTTGTTGAATGTAATCCTTGAAGGCATCCGCGGGGTCTCGTAGAGCTTGGGGTCGATCTTGGGCACTTTTGTCGCTGATGCCTTCGGTGCTGCTGTTGTGCCAATATTACCAGAGCCCGATGCCCTCGAGGCCTGTTGCCTGGATGTTGTAGGTGCAGTGGAACTTGCATGCCTAGAATGCCTCGTTGTCCTGGGAGTGCGGGATCTGGATGTTGTCCTGGGAGTGCGGGATCTGGATCTTGTCTTGGGAGTGTGCGATCTGGATTTCAATTTCGCCCTTGGTCTGGAAGGTCTGGAGTCGCTGCGATGTCGCCTTGTGGGGCTGCATCTTGGAGGGCTGCGTCTTGGAGATCGCGAGCTCTTGCGCCTCTTCCTTACGAGCAGCGGCCTGGAAGGTCCGGAGGATGCACTGTGCGATGTCATTGGCAAGGCTGGCAGTCCTGTGGTAGGTCTGGGCGTAGGCGGGGCGTCACCTGCTCCAAGTTGATCACTTCTTTGAAAGTAGGGTCGAGGGGACATTGTGCGTCCCTCGTGTTTCCGGAATGCCGAAAACGGCTGCGCCTTCTTCTTGGCCTTGGCCCCTGATCCAGCTGCACTCTGCCCGGTCTCGGTGTCCTCCGCAACATCTGCAGATGATTGCACAACTCCCTGCGGGCTTGCTGCCTGGAGCGCACGAAGTTCTTCGTGACTAAATAATAGGCTCGGGGATCTCCTTGATGCCGCGGTCGTGGCTCGGCCTTCTTCGCGGATTCTTTTCAAGGGCGGTCTCCCATGCTCAGTGGAGGTAGGTGCCGCCGACGGTGCCGAAGCTGTGGATCCACCGCTCAATGCCGCAAGCGCCTGCAGCAGGTCTTCTGGTTGCGCGTTTTTGATCTGGATGTTGATCTCCATGGCGCGGAATGCAACACAACGTATTGGCTGCTCTTAAACCCGAGACCAAAAACAACCAAAAGAAAACATGATTAAAGCCCAGGGTCATGCATTAGCAATCATTACGCTAGTGAAAACTTAGCACTGTTCAATCAGACTTCAATCGGACTTCAAGACATGTCAAATTTCAAGATTGTAAGCTTGAAGCTGCTGGCCATCGAGATCATCAAGTCCTTTCCAGTCTCAAAATATATACTTTCCGCTCTGTTTGTGGTTGGGGGGCCTGTTGCAAGCCTAGCCAAGGATCACCCGTCCCACTCAGGGCACTATTTCAAAGGATACTGCCTCGAGAGCAGCGGTAATGGCGCCGTGACGGATAAGGCCATGCCCATTTCACACTCGAACACCCAGGCGTCCCTGGTAGAATGTTCATTCGTGGTCAATCTCACTCATCACTGAGTTCAAGACTCCGATGAGAACCTTCAAAGAAAATGTTGTGTGGGGCCTTCAATGGTCTGTGGTTGCCTTGCTGCGATTTAATACCCAAAAAAGCCAAGGAGCACCTGTTGCCTGATACCTGGATCTCGCTCTTCACTGCCGACGAATAGTCTGGAAGCACTGTACAGCGAATATGTGAAGGATGAAACATTGCACCGCTTGTAGGATTGAGGACGTCACAAGCTGCAGGTACGTCGACTTGGCGTCCCAAGTCGATTTCACAGGAGAGCAGAAAGGTCTTCGTTGGTGCCAGCCTTCTGCAATCCCCTGGCACCCCCTGCATGAATGTCACTTGCGAGCTCTAACCTCAACATGTCGCTGTCCCGTTGTAGTTTGGGTTTCCCACACACACACACACAAACCACACAGTCGATTTCCCGCAAAGTCTTCTAAGGCAGACGAAGTCACTCCTCTGTGGCGTCCTTGCCAGCGAACATCATGATCGATTTCTTGCCACCGGGATGGTCGGAGAGAAAGGCGGTCACGTCCAACACCTCAGCTGAGGCGATGTCACCTCCCCTCCCTGACCACCTTCAAGACAATTCCTGGCCTGATCGCCAACGATCACCCAGCAGTCGCTGTCCTCCGATGCGGACATGTCTGCATGACCAATCCCAGAGATTCACAGAACCGACATTCTGGTTCCCTGAGACACACGTCACCGTCCTTGTTGTGCTTGGCAACCTCCTCTGCGGACACGGACATGGCGAAATGCAGCGACGGCGCGGAAGGGAAGAGGGCGAGAGAGCTCGACTGTTTGCGAAACGGCTGAGAAGGATAAGCTGGTGCCACGTGCCCACTGCATGCGTTTGCAGAGCTCAGGAACAGAGAGGCAGTGGCGCCGACCAAAGACACGGTCTCTGCAACGATGGCTGACGCTGATGTGGATGGATCACATGTTCATTGCAATCGGTGGCTCCAAAGCGAAGAGGTCCTGCTCAACGAGACCACGAATCAGTCAAACGCTCCCACGGGACAACCTAGAGAACAGGTCCTACCTGAACAGCTCATGCCGTTTGAGGCAGTTTTGGAACTCGCTTTGCCGGTATGGAGCAGATACAACTCTACGGGAGTTCTGCTCTCAGTAAGACTGCTAACTCGCAGAGCGATCCTGGCGCTTCACACGAACTCTGCATCGCTGCCTATCACTGGCAATCGGATCTTACCAAGGCCCGCGCCGATCACTTCTTGATCGTGCCCTTCAGCACGACGGTGCCCTCGGCCCCGACAGCAGATTCCCCCGTGGTGCAAGGACGTGGGCACACTATGCTCCAACCAATGCCTCGTCAAGGCCATACTTCTTGATGACCTGCCGGCAGACGATCAAAGGCGGATGGGAAGAGCCGTAACAGCCGTTTGACCCTTCCGCAAGCTTCGACGCAGCTCTCTGCACCTTGCGGTCGTGGAGCATGTCGAACCTTCAGCACGCAACAATCAAACGACCAAACCGGATGCAGATTACATTGTGCTTGGGCAACCCCTCTCGCACGCACACAAACACACACACACACATATCACACAGTCGATTTCCCTCAAAGTCTTCTAAGGCAAACGAAGTCACTCCTCTGTGGCGTCCTTGCCAGCGAACATCATGATCGATTTCTTGCCACCGGGATGGTCGGAGAGAAAGGCGGTCACGTCCAACACCTCAGCTGAGGTGGTGTTACCTCCCCTCCTTGACTACCTTCAAGACAATTCCTGGCCTGATCGCCAACGATCACCCAGCAGTCGCTGTCCTCCGACGAACATGTCTGCATGCCCAATGCCAGAACATCCCGGAACCGACATCTGGTTCTCTTGGACGCACATCACCGTCCTTGTTGTGCTTGGCAACCTCCTCTGCGGACACGGACATGGCGAAATGCAGCGAAGGAGCGGCGAGGAAGGGAAGAGGGCGAGAGAGCTCGACTGTTTGCAAAACGGCACCCGGCATCAATAATTGCAGGAACCTTATCACGAACTCTCCTATCTCTCTGCACAGTATGTGTCGCTTCGCGCTTCGTCAGCGCCGAAGACATAAGCACAGCTCCGTGCGCCAAGGCTTGCTGCAGTCTTAGTATGGATTATGGTCATGGTATGTATGCCCCACCCACTCGATGTGTTGACGTATGCAACAGGCTCCAGCGCCACCTGCACACCTGATCGGCTCCTCCTCTTCTGCGGAAGAATGAATGAATCTGCTCTGACCACACAAACGAGACGAGAAGATGACATGCACCGACGTTGCCGGCGTCCTGCTTGCACGTCCCACGAGTGAGGCTTTGCTTCGGTTCTCGCTGTCCCTCAGTCCCACTGATGCCTTCGATTCCATGGCAATTGATACCTGGGTCGTCTGCCCTGTCGTGTGGAAGCCTGGTATCTTGTTGTGTTTCTGACTCTCTCAATGCTCAACTCATGCAGGAGCCATGAAGGCCATGGATCCATCGAACACGTTCGAGGCAGCTGGACGAGGTGATGTGCATCCCAGCGCCCATGTTTATGCTCTGATGTCTCGGCATCCTCTCTTCGGATCAGTACGGCTCCTTTGGCCGACTGGAAGCTGATCCAACCTGGTCGACCACACGAGATGCCAAAGAAGCTGTGCATCCACTGTGAAACAGCATCTCGTGCTGTTCTGCTGCCTACATCCAGAGGTAGCCATTCATTTCCAACTCGTAAGAAACTTGCTGCTGTAGCTCCACTGGTCCGCGCCTCGATCCGGTCCGTCTCCATGCAGCTTGGTGTACAAGAGCCTTCAGAACTCCAACACGAAACTCATCGAAACAAGCGCTGCAGGGTCACGCTGAACCTCAATACCCTCTAGGACTCTTTGACTCTCACTAGCTACTCTGTCCGTGTAAAACCTAGCTCAGGCCTGTGAGCCTTGCGCTCCAGTTCCTGCACCAATGCACCTGCAAGTGCGGGTGCTCGTGATCTCTGAACAGGGTTCATTCTGCAAAGCTGGCCAAGCATGCTGATATCCTCATCCGACCGAGGCCGTCGCCATGCTTCAGGCGCCCGATATAATCCTCCTTTGCGACACCTTCGGCGCCGTGCCTCACCTAAGTAGAAAGGAACGGTCACCGGAACCTCCGGCTCAATTCGAAGATTTGGCCTGCTCAGTTTGCACATACGACATGTAGGGAAGATACCTGACCGTAGCGGGGGGAGTTTGGAGGGTGAGGCAACACAACTTTATGTTGTTTCGGGCCCACCCCCCCTCCCCTCAAAAAAAAGCACGATGTCCAGATTGCACCGGATGTTGTTTCATTTGAACCATGTTTGCAGCATCATTTGCACCCATAGCGGTTCAGAGCTCAATCGGGGCGGTTGTCGATCACGAGCTGTTTTCTGGAAGTCATGTGAGTTCAAGTCTACGGTTCTACCATGTTTCTTGAGACCCGAAGGCTGCTCAAACATCCGGAGCCATCTCCCCAAAACTCACATCACCCCCACTGCGAATGAGACTCGAGAACATTTGCCAAACAAAACAGACTAGTCTTGGCTATGCAGTGTGGAGTGGCAGCGACGATGGCCAAACTCTCCAAGTCTTTCTACGAGGGCTCCATTGGTAAAAACCCCGTGCGATGAGAACAGACGGTGCTGGTATCCCAAGTGTCGGTAGCCTCGTTACCCGAGCCATTAGCTGTATTGCAAGAACTACTGTTATGACTCCTTTACATGCTCACGATTCTAAACCTGGTCATACCTAGAAGTAATTATAGTTACAGTAAACCCCATGCAGTTGGAAACCGGATTAAAGCCAAATAGTGCTGGGATTCCCTGTACATTACTCTTAAGGAGTAAGGCTATTGGGCTTCCAACTTTTGGGCTTCTACTATGCAGATAACCATTATTTCGATGATGACTATGATTATCATGGTCATCGCTATTGGCAGTAGTTTTATTATCGGTGTGGTCTCGCAACTTGAGGATCTCCTCCTGCAGTCCGGGATCCTGAGGCGCTGGCAATGATACCGCCCTGCATCCGTCCTCATGGATGTTCTATATCTATAAATAAAAAACAATATACATATATATATAGACACATATATGCACATGTTTATATGTGTGCATGTATATAGCAAACACATACATATGCATATATACACACATACATACATACATACATACGTACATACATACATACATACATACATACATACATACATATACATGCTGAACCTATATGCATACATATACGTATATACCTAAATAGATATATACAACGAAAAGTATACATATATATATATATACATATATGCAACCCCCCCCCTCCGGTACCTACCTTTTCCGGTTGGTGTGCTTTTGGGTATAAGCTTTCGGAATCTAGGTTGCAAAGAATACTGCACCATGTGGGTGCCAGTAAGCCGTTGCCACCTACATTTAAATGCGTCTGCTGCATCATGCTTTGTCCAGTATTTGTCACCTAATGTTGACCTAGGATTAATAATCCCCCTACGATTAAAGGCGGCCTGCGGGCGGCTCCGGCCCCAATCTGTACTACTTTAAAGGCAGCACCCAAATAAGGATCGTTTTTTGCAGAAAACCCCCCACGATTAAAGGCAACACCGTCTGGGGATCTAAAATTTCAAAAAGTGCTTCGAAGACTACTTTTAAAGGGGGCAAGACTTGGTCTAGGCCTAAACCCTTCCCCGATATTAAACTTGAAACCTCGTTGGCCCCAATACCGCTTCACGTTTTAATCCTCCAAAGTGGTGATTTCAACACTACTTGCTGTGTCGTTCCAAGCCCCCAAACAAGCTTTTTGAGCTATCCCCAGCAATCGTGTGTCACCCACGATTAATCAACGTCCCACGATTAATCAAACTCCTGTGGCACTGCTACTGCTACTGCTACTACTGCTGCTACTACGACTACTACTACTAGCACCACTGTTTACTGCAATTTGGCTTCACGGGATTATTTGGGGGTCTGTGATCCTGTGGGGGGCCTGCGACCTTGACAACCTTGAGGGGGGGGGGGTGGCGGGGGGGGGGGGGTTAATAATCAGGGGTCAACATTATGTGCCAGAAAGTGCTGTATTTGCTGCAGACAGAGCAGCAGGGTAGATGAGACACTGGTGCACATTGCCTATATGTGTATTTGCAGCAGAAGCAGTGGCATGTTCGCGCAGGCGTGAGCTCTGGAGTCAAAAAAGCCAGCAGATGTAACACAAACCAGGATATCAAGGTTATCACACAGCTCTGACTAAGGTTGTTCATAAGAGACACATTGGGGTTATGTTATAGTAATAGGTCGCACTGAGGCTACGATGGAGAGTCTGGAGGCTATATCAGGTCTAATATTAGGGTCAGCATTGACATAAGGGTTCATGGCAAGGACAGTGCGAGGGTTGATGTTGAAGTCCGACATGAGCATCTACAGTAAGAAGGGACCCATCATCGTATATTGGGTTACGCAAGCATGTACAAATATCATCTTTAAATCTACAGACCATCAATAGAGCAATGCCACACCCAGAGAAAGTTGAGGTTCATGCTTATGAACAAAATGGTTGGACGGCTCATATTATTATTAGTAGAATGTGATGGTTACCACGGGGGTTAGTACTTGGGCCGTATCTAGCGTACCTGTACCAATACATGCAGCAACTAGCTAAGATTGGGGTCGCCATGACTTTTAAAGTTCGGGGTCCATGACTTCAGGGGATTCTCCTAAGCCCAGATATTGTAAGCTTCGCTGTTGAGAGCAGTATTCGGTACATTACGAAGAATTGCAGTAGGGATAAGTGATATTAAGTTTGCGAACAAGTTCATCTTAGACTCACATATCACGGTTGAAGGGAGACTCTAGTATCTGGGGTGCCAACCGGGTTCGTTTATGATGTTAGTTAGGCGAATTTCCGATCTCTGGTAGGTACGGGAGTTGACATGCGCACGACTGGGGTTACTAGTCGGCACAGCATTTTTTCATAATATCTATGGTGTTGATTGAGCTACAAGGCGCCTCTATCGGGTAAACATGAGCCAGAATAGCCGGGGTATCCAAACTACTACTAAGGCAAGGTTTATACGAGGCTAGGCTGGGGTTCGCCAAAAAAATGAACATTTTTCTGCGTGTTGTTTAGCAATACTATAGCCCACACTTGGAGTGTTTTACGCTGGTACGGAGGGCACCTCCCGATAAGCCGTAATTGTCTAAACCTAAATTCCCCAGTAGTATACTCTTTTGCCCTTTTTCCTGTTTTGGGAAATCCATTTTTCATGATCAGCATGAGTGTCACAGGAAGCTAAATGGGGGGCGTGATCCAAGAGAGACTGCGAGAGGAATGTTTGGGCGAATGCACTTGGAGCAGAGTCGGCCCGATTCAAGTTGAATCGGCCCGATTCAATTGAATCGGGCCGCGGATTCAAGATTGAAGATTGAAGATGCCTGGAAGAAGTTTCCCAGGGATCTTCAATCTTCAATCTTGAATCCGCGGCCCGATTCAGTTGAATCGGGCCGATTCAACTTGAATCGGCCCCGGCAGCACGTACCACGAGTCACAACGGCGGACGGCCCAAGAGGCTAATTACTTTAATACGGTGAAGTCATTACTTATAGCACTGTCAGTACAGATAGGGCTTGCGGGCACAGACAGGGCTTGTCGGGCACCTCCCCACCCTGGTACCAATCCAAACCAGTATGCGTGTCAGCCTATAGCATTGGTAACCACACCGAAAAGGTAGGTACCGGAGGGGGGGGGGGTACCATATATATATATATATATATATATATGTACATATATATATATATACAGGTACATATATATATATATATACACACACGTGTATGCATGTAGCCATTTAGACATGTAGCATACATTTATACATACATACACATATACATACACATACGCATATACATATATGCACATCTACGCATATACACATGTATATTTACACCTACATTTACATGTACATATACCGATACCTGTACATATACAAAAAAAATGCATATACACATGTGTGTATATACTTATGTGTATATATATATATGCTGGTAAGAACGTAAATACATATACACACAGAGCATACAGTATCCCAGTATCAATATCATCAAGTGGGGACTAAGACGAGTCTTTATCATTCAACGCATGTAGTTCTCTGAGACTCACTGCTCTTCGTGTGTGCGTACGGCGCTTCGAACCACTCAGCCAGGTGCCGCCCACTACGCGCCAAAGGCGAGGTGGCAGCTCCTGCCCAAGGAGCATGCAAGAGCACACGGCTCTCTGCCTAAGAAGCTATCCTGCGAGACGTAAATTGCAAGCGCCCTGCGGTATGCTGGATGGATGTTGTGCCTAACCGAATATGCTGAGAGCAATTGAATCATATTGAATCTCGCAGTGCCACAGGTCGACACCTTCGGCTTCGCTGCCGGCCGCACCTGCGGAGCCTGCGCAGGCCCGGCCCAGAACTGAGAGGCATAATTGTATCCTTTCTGTACTATATATGTATGTATATATATACACATATACATATATATATGTATATAAAGGATTGGGTAAGGGGATATGACTGCTAGTGCGTAAGCCTGTACATTCTTTTGAGCCCTTCTGCCTCTGGAGGGCACTGCAGTGGACCAGGCTCCGCAACCTTCCGTGCACGAACAGGGAGTCACATTAAATTCGCCATCCCTCCATTGTCAAGGCCCGCAACTTCGTGCACGTCCACGACACTTTAATGCCGCCCTCGACGAAACTTGTGCTATCCTCGAGCGGCCTTTTCTTGCACCAGCTCCGGAGACTTCCCGAAAAGCGACCTGATACAGGGCCACGGCCCAGAAGATGCACTGTGCAGAGATGAGTGTGTGACTAGGCGGGCGCCTGCGGCACTCGTAGATCCGGAAGCTGCCGAGGATGGGTACCCTGGATGCGCGGAAAGCTGTCCAAGACATGCAAGTTTCGTAGCTATGTGCGCTTTCGAAACAAGATGCAAGAAAGTGGCTGCAACACTTTCTCATCTAACGCGGTGGGTCTGAAGAGGATAGCATCTTGGACTGCATTCTGCTATACACCTCTCAAACAGCCATCAGAGCTCTGCAAGAGAGCCCCGTCAGTAGACTGCCCGCAGCCAAAGGGACATCCTTCCAGTAAGCCCGCCGACGGCCTCACGGATGCACGCGTTGGAGAATCGGGCCGTGCAAAGCACTGGATCCAAGCCACCGTGGTGCTTCCTGTTGCCTCAGGCCAACGCTCTTCATTTCTTGATCGTGCCCTTCAGCACGACGGTGCCCTCGGCCCCGACAGCAGATTCCCCCGTGGTGCAAGGACGTGGGCACACTATGCTCCAACGAAATCAGCAATTTGGCCTCGTCAAGGCCATACTTCTTGATGACCTGCCGGCAGACGATCAAAGGCGGATGGGAAGAGCCGTAACAGCCGTTTGGACGCAGCTCTCTGCACCTTGCGGTCGTGGAGCATGTCGAACCTTCAGCACGCAACAAGACAGACGGCCACATCGCGTGCAGATTGACTGTGTGCTTAGGCAACCCCTCTCGCCCGCACACACAGCACAGAGTCGATTTCCCGCAAAGTCTTCTAAGGCAGACGAAGTAACTCCTCTGTGGCGTCCTTGCCAGCGAACATCATGATCGATTTCTTGCCACCGGGATGTTCGGAGAGAAAGGCGGTCACGTCCAACACCTCAGCTGAGATGATGTTACCTCCCCTCCTTGACGACCTTCAAGACAATTCCTGGCCTGATCGCCAACGATCACCCAGCAGTCGCTGTCCTCCGCTGCGAACATGTCTGCATGCCCAATCCCAGAACATCCCAGAACAGACATCTGGTTCCCTGGGACGTACGTCACCGTCCTTGTTGTGCTTGGCAACCTCCTCTGCGGACACGGACATGGCGAAATGCAGCGAAGGAGCGGCGCGGAAGGGAAGAGGGCGAGAGAGCTCGGCTGTTTCCAAAATGGCTGGCCGTAACAAAAGGTGGAGTTCTGAAACACCTGAAGCCGGCGAAGGACCAAAATCTCCTACCTCGGGCAGCGTGCATATCTAGAAGAGGGCAGCACATCCACCGGCCTCAGCTTGGATTCCAGCACTCCGAAGCCCTTTGTCTTCATGTGGTCCTCGCTCTTGCAGACTTTCAGGCCACAGGGTTGCAAACTGATCATCAGAAACACGGGTCGATCCTTGCTGAAGAAAACCAAGCTTCTGCAGGGCTGCTTCAGGCTTAAGTTCGTGACATCCATGGCTGCTTTGCACACCCTCGGCCCTTGTCTCACGACAGTAGCAAAGGCTCCTGGAAGCAGCGCATGCCACCACGCCGGTCCTAGCGGCTTTGTGTCTTGAAACCCCAACCTGGAGTTGGTTGAATTGCATGTGTAGCTGTGTAGCGGGCACGGTCCTCGGATGCTGCGAGAATGATAACACCATCGGGCTCCAGCCTGCAGAAAAAAAGGATTTTGCAAAAGAGAGGCAAGGCATGGCAAGGCAGGCGCAGGGGCTTCCGCTCAGTCTCAGGGGCCGACACGCGGCAGAGAGCCTGGAATCGCTCTCGACTCGACTCGCTGCCTCGGCCCTGGCCCTGCAGAAACGAGGCCTCCCCGACGGTGTCGCCCCAGTTCCCGTAGATGATGTCGGAGGCCACGATCACCTGACATAACACACACGCAGTGCTCAACCGCGCGAAAGAATAGCAGCTAGCATGATGCACCAAGATGCACCAACATGATCGCGGCTTCAAATCAAGAGTAGCCGTGAACGCTATGGAACCAGCTTTATGCCCGTGAGTGCACAAGCAGAATGCCTCCACATGGTCCTCGCACGGCCACGGATCGTCCAACAGTTCCTGGCAGCTTCATGTGGGCAGCTGCACAGAGACGTGCTGGAACTGCTCACTGGCGAAAGTTAGGCTTTTAGCGTCACGAGCGCCTCCCACCGAAGGACTCGCGAAGTGACCTGGCATGCGCAGAGATGAGTGTCATGAGACACAATAAACGCTGGGATTCTACAAGAAATCAAGGCGGGTGACATCGCCCAAGCTGGAGTCATCGGACCAAAGGGATCTGCAGGCGAAGTGAGCAGAAATCTGGACCCTGAACCATATCGGCATATCGTCTGGAGCTTAAATGCCGTAATCTGCAATGTATCTGTGAGTCGAACCCTCAAAACGACGCCTGTTCAAGTCGATGTTGCGGGCCAAGTTGCGCACGACCTGCGTGCGAATGGGTCGTTGGACTCTCGGTGGTGACTTAGTCACTGATGGTCGGCTCTGGCCTCCTCATCCCCATCGGTGATGAGCGTTTGCCTTGCAAAGGCAACTTGTGCACTGGAGTCCCTCTACTCAATTCGGGATCAGGCAGCAGAATTCAAGGTGCTTCGGTGCTTGCTTGGGCTTTGACCTTGCCTGCGAGACATCAGGGGAAGACAAGTTCCAAGCAGGTGTGTCTGATAAAGTTGCGATTGTGATGGCCGGGGCTGATGTTGGCACTGGAAACCGGGCTTGATCCCACAGAAGGAGCGGAACTCATCCTCGACCCTCTGGCCCCTTGTTGGGCCGCTCCTGGCCAGTCGCGAAACAGCGAGACCAAGAAGGCCGCAGCCGGCTCCAACCTCCAGAAAGGAGAGGATGCAAGCGTTTAGGGCTTTGGGTTTTGGATGCTGCAGGGTGGGCTTCCGAGTGGGTCTTTCACCCGCCCGAGGAACTCGACATGCACATGGAACAAGCTTGCTCTGTCCCGCTTCCCTTGCCGTTGCGATAAACTCCCCTATCGAAGAAGTGGCATGTGGCCCGAAGCCCAGAACCTCGAAAGCAAACAAACCCGAAGGCCACAGGTGCAGAGGCGCACTGCTCTGGCCTCCAGCACTCTCCTCTTCTCGACAATCTGAGGCCTGCAGAGCTAAGGCGAGGGAGGGCTTCAATCGGGAAGCAAAAGTGTAAACAAAAGAACCACACCACAGGCTGCAAGAAAGCCTTTTGCAGCCCAGAGCGGAACAGTATTTCTGCGATCCCCGGAAGACAGCCTCGCCATGAGCTCCCGTGCCAGCACGATGCCTCCGTTTCATGCACGGGGGGACGGGGTGGGGTGGAGTTTTTCAGAATTGTCATCTTCACCGTTGGGAATCGGAAGCCTCAGGAAGAAGACTACGAGGTTTGGCCTTTTCCGTCTGTTATCAACTTCCACCAGTGCCTACGGCCTAAGCTGTACCGAGAGGGAGGCAAGATGGAATCATGTGTAAAGGCCCGGCTGCGGCCTGCAGAGAGAGACCCGGAAAATCGACATGAGGACACCAGACATAACTCTGAAAATGAAATCTCGTTTGCGATACGCGCCTACTAAGGAACCTCGCTTGTTCAACGCCTTGCCTAATCCACCAGTTCGAGAACCTACCGGACCGATGCGAGGTAACATAGATGCCAAGCTTTTCAGCTGAAACGGTAGCCCAGCAGCTCGACGACCACAGCTGGCAGCCGGTGGAGGCATGGACCCCTCGCATATCCAAGAAAAACAGCCAGGCACTGGCTTTGCACTCGACACACATTTAACAATGATGCTTTGTCTGCTCAAACATAGCTCTCGAAGCTTTGAAGCTTGAAACCCCCTTCGCTTGCAAAACAAGTTCCAACATCGCGTGGTCACTGGAAGAAGAACTCTCTCTGGCTGATGCGTTTCCGGCAGAATGTGCTCGTATTGACTCATCCCTCCGGCTTAGACCAAGGAGACCACCATCCGCCATGGGCAATTCGCATATTTTCACCTGCTTGCAACCATGATGAGCAGCTGAGCATGTCCACAAACAAACAGCTTTGAGCGCTGGCAGCGTACCTAAGAAAGCTCGAGGTCTCTTACTAGAGTTGGAACGAGCCCCTTTTACATAACATCATGGCAGGCACAGCCGAAGCGCAGCCGTTCCGTGTGCACAGAATGCCTTGAAAGCGGCGTGGCCGCCAGCAGGAGAAAATGCCACCTCGACAAGCGCCTATAGACTATAGATACATGCTACATGTTCCATCTGCACATACATGCATCCTCCGTCCATCCGTCCATCCGTCCGTCCATCCATCCATCCATGCACTCACCCATCCATCCATCCCTCCATCCATGCACACCCACCTACCTACCTACTTGCCTGCCTGCCTACCTACCTACGGACTTGCCGACATACCGACCTGCCCACCTGCCGACCTACGACCTAACGACCTAGCGACCTGGCTACCTACCTGCCTGTCTGCCTTCGTGCCTGGCTGCCTGCATGCATGCATATGTACATACATACACACATATGCATAAGTGTACACATATGCATGTATGTATGTGTGCATGTATGTACGCATGTATGCACGGACGGACGGAAGGATGGATGGATGTGAGGTACATAAATAAGTAGATAGATAGATAGATACTGTAGATAGGTAGGTGGGTAGATAGACAGAAACCGCGATAGATAGATGTCTGGGTCGGTAGGTAGGTAGGCAGGCAGGCAGGTAGGTAGATGTGTGTGCATACACATGTGTATGCACATGTATATACATAAGTAAGTTTGTACACACACAATAATTAATATATATATATATATACACACACATACATATCGAACCACATACATGCATAGATACATAATTACATACATACATACATACATACATACATACATACATACATACATACATACATACATACATACATACATACAAATATATATATATATACATATATATGTATGCAGCAGAATACGTCTTGGCAATGATTTACGATCGCGTTGCGATTTTGGACGACCGCAGCTGCGAGCTAGCATGCTGGCGCATACCGAGCCGTCTGACCCGCCTCTTCTTCCCAGGAGTCCATGGGCTCATGACTGGAGCAAGCCGGCTGAAAGGATCAGCAAGGCACGCAAATAATCGTCTAAACCCTATACCTGCGTCATCCAAGGACGAGCTCGAATGGTGTAGTGCTTTGGTTCGATAAACAAGGAGCCACAAAGACCAAAGCCTGATTTCAAAGCAGCCTAATCATATCCTTGTGAGGTCGGATTCAGGACGGCGCGCAGCTGTGCTTCTGAGCGTGCGATCGAATACTTCTGCAGCTTGTCTTCGCTATCAGATCTGAACGACTCACCTCCCTGTTCTGGGCTCGGGGTAGATAGTCGATCGTGGCTGCAGGTGTAAGACAGCATCGAAGAGGCTTTTCTCGCGCTCCCATGCTGGACTCCATGCCCATCAAACTCAGCCTATTGCAGGATCACCTGCAAATTACGAGTGTGAAATTGGGCAGCGGTCCAAGCTGCTCTAGGATTAGGACTGCACCAACAAATGAGCTAACATCGAACTTGTATGATGGGAGCGCTGCATTCTTTAGTGTTCCGTTGGCCTGGAAGTAGCCGTTGGAGGTTTCCAGATCTCGCATTTTCCGCTACTTTGCATGCATCTAGTTGCACCTTGTCCCTTTGTACTGGCGCAGGATCGTGAGCTTCCGTCTGTTTCCTGCACCGCCTGCACCAGCCCTCAGGGAAGAGGAAGCTTTGGGACGAAGGTCCGTAGCTTCGAGACACAAAGCGAGAAGCCTTCGACTTCCCAAAGTCTAGGACGAAGGGCTGCCATCATATGCACACTTTGAAGCCGTGGCCAGTGAGAATCGAGCACCCCGGCAAACAAGCTTTGGCAGCTACGTGCGACACTGAAGGTGACGTTCGCATCTACAGTTGCACCACACTGTATTCTGCGACCATGTTCCTGACCCAGGACTGAGGCTACCCCCTGACTCAAAAGCCTTTCAATGCTGTGATGCTGCAAACTCTCACCCCCCGTTTGCAACCTTCCGACTTCCGACATCAAGCAGGGATTCGGTTTTTGGTGCGAGCTCCCTAGGGATACGTATGTACTTGGTATCGAGGCTCGAGCCTGCCGACGTTCGGCACAAGACGAGGACCTCGTAACGTAGACTCTGACCGCTCAGTGGGATCCGTATATTAGCAAGTATCCTCCTCACATGTCTAGCGATGTCTAGGGCTTCTTTCAGGGGGCTCGCGTTCTGCGATGGCCAATGGCAGCCTCGGCAGCCTCTCGGTCCGCTTCTGGAGGGTGAGATCCAAACTGCTGGAGCCTCAGAGAGGGTTTGGGCTCTGGGCCTTCGGTTGAGGCCTAAAGACGGCCTTCAGGGTCTAGGGCCTGTTTTGGAGGGAGGTTCAGGGTTTAGGGTGCTCCTTTCATCAAGAACTGGTGGCAACCCGGCGAGCAGCGAAAGCTGGCTGAGACAAGGAGCTTATGCCAGGTACCGGTAGATGGATGCCTGCACAGCTGGCACATTGATGCCTTTTTGACAAGCCCAACGAGCACCGAACACTGACAGCATAGACTGATATGTACTCTATCGTCCGTGTATATATATATATATATATATATATAGATATGTATATATATACCCCATTTCGGATACAAACTTCTCATGTGTTTCGAAACAGAGACCTACCAGAGTTACTCTTGACCCTCCAAGAACCCCAGTCTGGCGACCTGCAGCTCTCAAATGACCTGACACGAAAGAGCATTTCCGGAATCCCCAAACCCTAAACCCTTTGTAGAACCCTTATAGATCCCGTTTTAGGAACCCTTAATGGATCCCTTTTGAGGTACCCCCTAACTTTCCGGAAAAGCCTGGTTCTTGTCTCTCTCCAGGTACTCACGCTCAATGAGATGCTCAATGCCTCAGTCAAAGTGGGGGGGGGCGGGGGGTGGGAAGCCGGACCAAGCAGACTTGCTTGAATATGAGTGAAGGTATATTCCTCAATCAAAGTATATTCACCAATGAATGCATTTTTCTTAATAAATTAAGGTATATTCCTTAATTGAGGCATATTCTTGTCTTCTGAGGCGCAGGCGCTGCTTGACAAGCTTTGGGTTTGGCTTGAAGAAGGCAAGCTGCGTAAGCACCTTCGGCTTCCAAGGCTTGCAATGCACGAACACCGAGAGCTGGTGGCAGAAGCTGTGCAGATTGGGTGTAGTAAGATTTCAACTACTGGCGCTACATGTTTCACTGAGACCACTATTGCCTCTGTCACGAGCTGCTGGTGGTTCAGCCTCAGAGACCCAAGCACAACACGATACATGAAAAAAGTTTTGCGATATGCGCAAAATCAATTCCATTCAGCTGTGTGTCTGACAGCGCAACATTCACAACACTGCGTTGACAACACTGCGGAATGCCGAATGCCAGCACTTCCCCATGCCTCAGCCGCTGATCCGAAATAATCTGGGGCTCTGGGCGTCTTCCTCATCTTCATTATGCGTACAATGGCCGCCTCGATGGCAATAGAACGATCCTCCTCGACGCGCTCCTGCATCAAATACGCGTGATCAATATCCCAGCAGTCACAAGCGCACAGCAACCTGTGCAGACGAGAAGCTCGTAAACATCCGGTTTCATGAGTATGACGACGAATGTACCGGTAACTACGGAACTGCACCGCTGCACTCTCACATGTCCACACCCCCTGCCTTGTTGTGCGTCTCTTCAGTTATTGGAGGAGGTACCTTGATCTTTCTGTGCGGACACCTCAGATCACGGCGAGCCGTGCAAGCTAGCCGAGTGGTTCTGCACATAATACCGACCATGCCGCTTCTACTACCGCCAGGGAAAACTGGGCAGCAAGGCCATCTCAGATTCTGAGGTGCTTACTGGAAGGAATCATTGGGAGTAAAGCTGGCATCATCCTGTACAGTCTCAGAGGCAGGAAGTCTTCAATCCTTGGACTGATGGAGCACACCGGATTTGGCAAAAAGAAGCCCTCCTCCATGCTTGGACTCACGACGAACTGGGTGCGTCGATAAAAAAGGCGAGTCAGATGCATGCTTGGGTAGTTATTGTTGTTATGAACAATATTCTTACAACAACTTTGAGTATGTCTATTATAACGATTATTGATCATCTTGTTATTGTTACTTTTATTGTTATTGTTACTATCATTATTGCTACTTGTATTATTACTATCTTGGGTATGGGAGCACGGGAGCGGAGCAACGGCTTCAGCCACAGATCACTGGAGCCTTTGCGCCAGCTCTCGCAGCGCAGGTGAAAGGAGCAAATAGTTGGAATCGGGTTTTGTGGAGTTCCTTATTATATATACGGTATAATATGGTATAACTATGGTATAATATCCCCCCAAACCCCATAAGGGACTGTGCGAGCAGGGCAAAGAAAGGACGGAAGTCGATTCAGCCGACACCGACAGCACGGCAAAGGCAAAGTAGATTCTATGCCTACTCCCTGCTAGTGTGCTGTCCTCGATCGTCTTGCCGTCGCCAGTCTTACTTAAAATCTTGAACCTGGCAGAAGCATGAGGCGGACATAAGACAAGAAAGAAGAAGCTCAGTATCTGTACGCACGGCCAGGATCATGGCCAGTGTGACATCTAGTCTAGATTCAAGAACTGCAATCACAAGCAAGGTTGAGCGAGAAGTGTAATCCTCGTGGACGTGTTTAGCAAGTAATGCCGGCCGCGCTTGGCAATCGACAAGGTGGCCAGGAGCCTGAAGTGAAGCATGCGCAGTGGAGCGATACATCGACCACTCTGTCCAGCGCTCATCAGAGGCCCAGAAACTCACAGGTAGTCTCCCGAACTGAACAGTGTGGCAGAGCCCTCTGAGAGCCGAACTTCTTGCACATGCTTGGCTCCAAACCCGTCGAATTCTGCGGAAGCAGGCACGATATTCTTCAATCTGCTAGACGCGCTAGACTGCACACTTGGGCGTCGATGCTTTCAAATGTCATCTAGGCAAAGACTGCAGTACCCGGGACCCGGGGCTCTAAAGCCGGCTCTCCACAACACGAGCGCTAGGGCGTCTTAGGATGTCTTAGGGCTACCGAAGTTGGTGCCCAAAGATGCCTGGATGAAGGAAAGGTTGTGGCTCTCGTCTCTGGTGAAAAGCAGCAGGATAAGCGCCTGAAGGCTCACAAGCGTCGGAAGTGAAAAGGAAGGAGAAGTACGATCGCTATCTGAAACCTTATCCACATGTCCCTGCTTCGAAGCCCGCCTGATACGAGTTGACGATCAAGTCATGCCTGTCCCAACGTCCAAGCAGTAAACTCAAGTTGGAGTTCAGAGAGCCCTGACTCTGACGCATGGAAGGCAAAGGCTACCTGCCTCCGACCGTTCAACTTGGCTGCAATCGTGGCCTCCACTTGCGGGGCAGCTGTTGACGAAAGTTAGTCCAGGCAGGGTGCAGTGTCCTTCTGATATGTTCAGAGCTATTCTGTTCCATGTTCTGCTGTGCCGTTGTCGCTGCGCAGAGTAGTACTATAAACAGTTGTAAAGAGAGTAGGAACGACAGTGGTCCCAGAGCAGCCCCTCAATTTTCTTGACAAGATCCTAGAGGCCGGATACCTCCTTCAGCTAGGCCGGTGGAAGGCAAGCCCCTTGTTGCTCAGCTTTGCATTGACCCCGACATGATTCGGACACGAAGTCAAGACTCGAAACAAGGTGCCGGTCATGCTCCGATTTGATTTGGTGTTAACTGTCTGGGGTCGCCGTTGGTGTGAAGTTTGCGAGTCAGTGATCATACAGACAAGTTGGTACTGCAGTATTTATTCTCGGTCTTCTCCTCTTCCTCCCTCCTCGTCGTTCCGGTGTAATGTAATCCTTTTCCCACTACAACCATTGCGCCAATGGCGACGATGCCCATAACCTATCAAAGAAAGACATGCCAAATCATTGGCAGCAGCATCCCTTGCCTGGCCCAGAGAATGGATCCACTGCAGCCGCCGATGCTGCGTCTTCCCCTCAGCAACCGATACAAACTACAAGTAGTCTTCCAGTGTCTTCACGAGCAGCAGTGGCACGTTGCTGCAATTCCAAGTTCACGCTTCTGCTCACTCTACCTTCAGTTTCCCGTCTTGGAAGCAAGCGTTGTAGTAGTTGCTGAAGACATTGATGGCCTCGCGACACTGCGGCTGCTCTACACTGGGCTTCCTCACGGCAGTGGCGCCTTCTGCATTTCTGGACAAAGGCTGGCCTCCTGCACCTGCGGTGAAGCAGTCGATCGTGAAATCTGACGGGCTTGGCCGCTTGGGCCGGGCCTGGTAAGATGGCCAAAAGCCTGTCGTCAGCACTGTGACGTTGAACTCGATGCCACCAAGGGCAGCCTGTGCAGTTGCAGAGAGAAAAATCCTCCGATTCGGATCCCGTCACCGGAGCCTTGCCCTCGGGAAGCTGCTCACAGTGGTCCCTCAAAGAGTGTTTCTCAGAGCTGGCACCCCTCACACCCCGCAGTGCACTGGGCGCAGGGCTTGAAATCCTTCTGGGTGTCCAAGGCGAGAGACAAATCCGTCAGCATGCCTCCCGGGACCAGGTGCTTTGTGGTAGTTAGCACGTCTCCGAAAAAATGCGCTAGGCAGGCATGGGATCCCTCTGCTTCAATCACTTGTGCCCCATGACGCGATCAGACGTCCCTTCGCGGCCCGGGGGCCCACCAGCCTTCAAGCTTGGACGTGAACTGCGCACCGCACCTTCGAGATTGAGTGAGATGGGAGCAGCATGGCCCAAACCGAAAGCTCGCTCAGGGCTGCACTTCATCTTGAGTTTAGCAATCATGCCTCGGCTGCTTGCACGACGGCTCTGAACACTGAGCGACTCAGGCTTCCAATCTACGTTCTCCGCGACACCAAACTCCACTGTTTTCTCAAGGCTTGGCAAGCTTCAAAAGCCCCCCCCTTCCTTCCGTGCCATAAAGGGGCTCTTTTCTGCATCCTCCGAGGCGGAGGTCTCGTAGAGCAGTCGCTTCGAAAGCTGGTTCCTGGAATTTCCGGGGCCGGGGACCCACCGTAAGCGTGGATTTTTGAGTTTTTCAAGGGATGAAGAACCGGGGCTCAGATGCAACTTTGGAAGCTCTGCGCTGCGAGTTCAATCAAGAAGACATCCGGACATGAAGCTCCAAGCACCATGCTCTGTGCAGCCGCCGATGCCCTCCGACATGCGGAACACCCGGGCACCTGTAGATCTCTGCGAAGAGATCCTTGTCGCTAAGGAAGGAGAAGAGCTCCACCTGACTCTCTCCGGAACAAAATGATTCGAGAGCCACTGACAGACATCTTGGCACAGTTTAGAGTGCTTCGCGGGCAGAAAGGCCGGCATGCATGTAGGGAGGAGGAACTGCACTGCGAGCACCTTTTGCATCGCTGCAAATCTCATGCGGGTCTATTTAAATCAGCAGGCCCTCATTTGCACTGAGCAGATGGCCAGAAGTCCTGATCTTCACGTGGAACCTTCTCTGGCGTGGGCACGCTCGGCAGCGTCTGTACAATGCTGCGAAAACACGTGGAGCACAGGAGGGTGCCGTGGGAAGATTCCCCACCCATGCTCCGTCAACCGGCTGGAGCGGCTGGAAGCTCCCAGTCGCTGTGATGCGCCTGCAGACTGGAGGAGAGTGCTGCTCCACGTTAAGAAGCATTGTCATAGCAGATATTATATCATAATAGATCATAATAATACCATAGTATACCACAGTCTATTGCAGTACCACTATGTTATCGTACATTTTTGGATTTAAGGACCCGAAGTCTTGTTTTCAAGCTTTCTTCCCGGTCTCGGTCCTCGATCCGATCGGCTATGTCCATCGCACGGCGGCGTCCTTGAGCTTCTTAGAGAAGGGTTTAGGGCTTTAGGGTTTGGGGCTTTTAGGGTTTAGGGTTTAGGGTGTAGGGCTTTAGGGCTTACGGTTTTGGGTTTTGGGTTTAGGGCTATTTAAAGCTTTAGGGTTTCATGCAAGACGTCGCTCGGACACTCTGAACGATCTCTCGGGCAGAGGAACTAGCACGTGCTAGGGTTCTTAGGGTTTTGGAGGTTCTGAGTCTCAGGCTTTTGATGAAGGTTTAGGGTATAAGCGCACATCCGTGGAGCAACATCGAGCCAAAGAGACCTTACCTGTAAACTCTGTGCTTCGGCCCATGAACCCCCAAGCCTCTTGCGAGAGCCAGACGTAGGGGGCAGAAGAGGAGTCTGAATAACTGGTGAAACGATTCTGATTGCTAAAGTCGCTATAGCTAGGCGAAACCGCTTTTGATTCTTGTCCAACCGATCTCTATCTTCGGCTTCGGCTTCGGCTTCGGCTGCGAGGGAAAGGTCCGCGTTCACGGACCCGGGCCAAGGCCCCCCTCTCCCCACTGCGTTGGTGGTAGAAAGGGCTTTGGGGTCGTTGGTAGGCGATTGCTTTCAGCAGTCGATTTGAATGGTAGAGTGCGTCTGTCAGTCAAGCCGAACCCTTTACACTAACGCGCATCGCGGCCTCATCTCCGCGCCCTCTTAGGCAAGTCCTTAGACCCTCGACAGACGCAACCCCCCCACAGTAACCAACGGAATGTAGTCGTCCCCCTTGTAGCAAAAGCAACTAAGGACCGAGCCGAAATAAGAACATAACACACGGTTGGGTGGACGATCTACAGGTTAGCACTGGTGACTGCTGTTGAGCGATCGGATCCCCCGCCCTGGTTGGTAGCCACAAGGAAAACCACAAACCGTGCAGGTAACGAAGACGGCGGGTTCACCTGCTAGGGAGGCTTTGTAGTGTCGGGTCCCCCGCCTAATCAGTAGAAAGCAACAGCGAAGAACAAGCAAACGTGCAGGTAACGAAGACGGCGGGTTCCCCCCATGTTGTAAAGAAAAGCCGGTTGAATTATTTCTTCTAGTATGGACACGGTCGGCGAAAGCATTGAATTACTGTGGTGGTCGGCAATATAAGTCGCAGGATGGCGACTGGTGCAATTGAATTGGGCTTTCGGTCGCTACTTCGAGCTGTTGGAGAAAAGGGAAAACCATTCGGTGGCTACTTCGAGCTACCCTCAAGAAGGTATGCATCCCCCCGGCAAGGGTTCAAAGGAGAAACTCGGGAACTAGGGAAGGCACATGGCAGCAGCAACAGAAAACAGGATGCCCCCCCTAGTTCCCGTCCCCCGCACATTGTACTTTTTACAAGTCGCGCTCACGGCTCTCACGTTGGTTGCGCATGTGTTCCTGCACATGCTGTACCTGCCACCTCATGCTCGGCTGAAGTCGTACTCGTTGTGGGCTGTTGCTCAAGCTCCGCGCCCCTTCTCCCCCTTGGGCTGCGGCTTGGAGTGCGTGGGCGCTCCTCCCCCAGCCTTCTTCTCCGCGGGCTTCTGCTTGGAGTGCGCGGTCTCTCTTTTCCCAAGCTGCGTCCCCCTCCGTGTGCGTCGTCTTCAGCGGCGGCTGTTCCAGCGTCTTCCCCTCTTTGCTCGCGTCGGTCTTTGGCTTGCGCTGTCTCAAGGCTTCCTCTGTCTTCGGCGGTCCTGTCTTCGTCTCGTTCTCCCCCGCCTTGGTTATGAGGCTCCGTGCCGGTGGTCGCTGAGTCCGTGCTCCCCCAGTCAACTTCATCTTCGTCACACCTTTCTCTCAAGTCGGCTGTGGCTTCCTCCCCGCGGCTTGTTGGTGGTGGCTTCGAGGTAGTCGCCCCGCTGCTTTGCGCCGCTTCCGGAGCTTCTTCCGGATTTGGCGTGCCTTTTTGAGTAGTGGACCGGCTTTTTGCGGGAAGCGGATAATATGTGCTCGCGTCTTGTTGGCGAGTTTGGGCATGTATTTGTCCACGATCCTGGTTAGCTTGTCCACCGTTCTGGCTATTTTGCACCTTTCCTCAAAGCGTTCACGGTATTTGGCATACTCCCCCGCCTCGAGGTTGTTCAAGGGCATGCCTGTTCCGAGGTCCATCCACTTGTCGCCCTCCTTGTAGATCTCTCTCTTCCCCCACTTGTCGAGTGGTCCAGGCAGGAAGTGTAGGCCTATTCCTCTCCTTGTCGTGAACCTGGTCATGTGCGTAAAGGGAACCTGTGGGGTTCTCACGTCCCCCACCTCCCGCGGCGGCGGGTGACTGCCTTGGGTTACCGGTCGGCTCCCCGTCCCTTTTTCGCTGCGCCCATGGAAGCGGCATGCTGGATCCGACTTGTCGGCATATGCGGCATTCCTTCTTCCCTTTCGGATTTTTTCCCCCACTTGGGTCCATCTGTACCACTCCACCACGGTGGTTATTGTTCTCGGTCTCCCCGCTAGTCACGGACTTGCAAGTGTGGTACTCCCCCTCCCAGCGCAGTCGTTCGGTAAGCGAAGCTCGGCCAGGAATGTCAGGGCGCTGTTGGAGAAGAAACCCGCGTCCAACGATCTCTATCTCTCTCTCTCTCTCTCTATATATATATATATATATATATATCTCTCTCTCTCTCTCTCTCTCTGTTCCTGAGTAGCCCCTTTATATAAGAAGGGTACCCTTCTTCCTAATATTCATAAATAATAAGGGGACCCTAGGAACCTAGCTCAACCCAACTGCAGAAGCTCTGGGCACCTGCGGCACCAGGGTCGGCCATGGTCCCTGTTCCACTGATGCGGCCCGAGCCTGCGTAGAGGGGGTAAGGCAGTCTGCGTGGATATTCTGTTCGCTATTAGAACATGTTAGATTATTTTTAGAGTATACTAAATAGACTTTATACTATCTATTCTCACCTATTATATGTTGTATATATTAATACTATTATTATTATTATTATTATTATTATTATTATTATTATTATTATTACTATTATTATTATTATTATTACTATTATTATTATTATTATATATGGGCCCAGGTAGTGTTACAGAGGACAGACTGGAGACGGCAAGTGCCAGCTCGAGGAGCTCGGAACCTGAGTCTCTGGATTGCAAGCCTTGCAGCATGATGTCCTTGATCTGAACACCGAGCTGGGCCAACGTCAGCCCGGGCGACCAACCCTTCCCAGGGTAAGCCAGTCACGAACGTGCAGATCCAACCCTGAACGCGCAAATGCATGACTTGGGATGAAAGCGCCTGGCTCGACAGCACCTCCATGCAGAGGGCCCCATAGGAATGAACACGAAAGCTTCCTGCAGCCGGCACCATCGGCTCTCGGGGCACTGGGGCCGTTTCCTGTCGAAGGTAGGGGACGCCCTAGGCTGCCTTGCTACGTTATCCAGGTCCCAGTACGGCGGCTTATGTGTGGCGCGCCAATGCGCGAGAAAGCAAAGAGACTCGAAGCTGTGAATGTGAATCCACAAGAACCCCCCAGGCCCTCCACCAAAGCCGAACATCAGATTGCCTGAGTCGAAGTAAGGCTTCAGGACCCGTACTTTCGGCGGCGAAGTCGGGAAAGCATCCGGAATCCAGATCTCCAGCTCTACCTTGCAAACACTCTTCGAAACGAGGCCTCCAGCATTAAATTCTGAGCGCGCCAAGCAGCCGCATCGATGTTCCAGCGCCGTAGCTGACGTCCGAACTCGCATCCAGTATCAACACCTGCTCGCCAGTCACTGTGCAACATGCTGCTCCAGCTCTACTGTACCATGCTGTCGTGCATCTGTACATATCAGGACCTTCCATAAGGGATGTTGCGAAGCTTACACCAGGTTATGGGTTTGGGGGCAAGTCTTCGACTTTCACCACAAAGGAAGCCTTGCGTAAGCAGGCGCAGGGACCAAATCCGCAGGTCGCCCCCATCTGGATCACAAAGAGACAGCTCCAGCCTCACCAACCGCAAGTGGAAAGAGCTAATGCCTTCAAAGCTGGCTGAGCAGCAGTATCTCCACCCGAGATGCTTTGCTGACATGATTGTTTCAGGCGGACACCTACCGCCTGAAGCCACATCTTGGGGTGCTTTCAGCCACGGTGCCCATGCTCTCGCAGCAGCTCTTCCTTGCGCGCTTCCGTTTGCGCCAGCTCGCGAGACAGCCTTTTCAGGCATCTAGCCGGGAGTCCTCCGAAGCCAGGGCTTGGGCTTGCAATCCAGAAAGCCATCGCAGTCTCTCACTCAGAACTGAGAGATGATGGCAAATGCCACGCAGACTTGACTGGAAACCCTTCTGAGACTCGAAGGCGGGTTACTTACAGCACTCGAAAAACCTTGCTCAGTGTCGGAGCCTGAAGCCGGTGTCGCCTGGCGAGAAAACGAGGCATCGCAGGGAGCTTCAGCAGCCTTCAGAGACGTGAACCATGAGAGCTCTGAGAGCCTGAGCCTGTCCCCTCGACCCGGCTGGCCTGTGAAAGCTGAGCTGCATCAGGCTCGGGCCGATCTGCACTAAGAGCAGCCTGGCAGGAACGCACGAGTCTATACTTCCAGTCTTTACGACTCGGTTCAGCCGTCGGTCTTAACGTCTTTTCTGCAAACTCTGCCCCGCCCAGCCTTGGGTGGCTCCGTCTCATTTGCGGCATCCTTGACCTTCGCAACGCGGTTCCGAATGGCAACTCGACGTCTGGCTGTAAAGGATCCCTAAACAGACGAGAGGCTGCGACCTCTTCTGGCGCTTCGTCCGCCAAGTCCAGACGGAGCAGGTCACGGACCTAGGAACAAAAGCCGCCAGCTGCTCTCCCGAAGAAGACTCTTCGGGTCCGGCCTCCTGTCGGCAAAGCGGGCAGCGGTTACGGCCAGGTGTCATGCGCAGGGTCAAGGCGCATTGATGGCAAACGCAGAAGTGGCTGCAAGGAAGCCTCAGAAGCAAAGACTGCTTCATCAACACTCTCCCGTTGCTGAGCATTAGAAACACTGGAAGAACTCAAGTTTCGAGACAAATAATTACATCCAGATCGGATGCCTCCAAGTCCTGAGTGCAGAAGGAGTGACAGAGCGGTGTTCCTGGCCTCCGTCAGGCACACAACGCCTGAGCCGTGAGTTCAGGCTTATTGTGGAGTCTTAACTGGGCTGTAGCTCTGCTCCTGCGACTACCTCGCCGAGGCACAATTCTTGTTCGACTGTCCATCTCCAGAGCCATCAGGGCGATGCACTTCCTGCTGCACACTGGTGGCCCTCTCCAGCTCACTTCGTCAGAAGGCTATCCCAACAACATGGAGTCTCAAATGAGACTAGGGCATGTGGAATCGATCAGCGGGTCGGCGCATTCAAGCCGATATCCCGCCACATCCCGCCCTCATCGGCAAATCCGATGCAGAGCCTGTCAGCCAATTTCGCAGAGTCAGTCCTGAATGCCGAACAAGTCCTTAACTTCAAAGGCTGCTCCGTCGCCACCCCACGCGATGACTTGCTTCTCAATGTTGAGGCCTGACTTGTAGCTGGAGGAGTGCCGAGCAAACTTCATTCCCTGAGTCTATGATTCAAGCTGAGAATCCCTTGTCCTGCAAGCTGCAAAAGACCATTACCTCTGCTGCAGGTGTCATGCAGCGACTAATTCACTAATTTGCTGATTGACCTGGAACCTGGTCTTGTAAATCAACACACAGGTTCTGCCAATGCCATGACTCATGACAACTTTGCAAGAATATCTCCGAGGCATCTCTACTCTACAAGCCATGTCCGATGAGTAATTTACTGTGCACATGGTCTTGCTGCCACTACCCCTGAAGTTCATGTTTCCAGGCGCAGCTTCCACTCTATTCCTGGAAGCCTAGCACAAGTGCCCGAATCGAGGCCCGCGGCTGTGCCATCTGGAGGATTCAGCACTGCAGATCCAGAACATGCGCCCGGCCGAAGCACCGCCACCCTCAGACCCGGCGACAAGCAGGCAAAAGCAGCCGAAGCAAGTCCCCTCCCTTACAAATCAGTCGGGTGGCAGTGGCCAGATCCTCTCTCTCCGCAGGGGCCGGCAGTTCTCGAAGCGGAGCCGGCTGGAACCGGCAGCAACCTGCATGTATTTGACAAGATTCTAACAATTTAATGCTCTTCGCTCACTGAGAGCGTCTCAGCCTGTTGTCGGAAGGCACTGCCCCCGTCCAGGCTGGGCCAAGCCCCGCCGGCCCCTGCTCCGGGCCCGCGGACTTCCGCGCCCACACGCAGCTCCGCCAGGCCAGGGCCCGCAGCGTGCAGGGAGAGCGTCACCTCAGCTCCGCGCGGAGGCGCGGAGAAGCAACCGAAGAAAAAGGAGGGGGGTTTTGTGGCCAGGTGTAGGCAGGGCAGCTTCAGCCCGACCTTTTTCCCTTCTGGACTCTGACGGGCCACACCGCCGTTCTCCAGAGTGATGCCCTTCAGCATCAGTGAAGGCCGAACTGCAACTGCCTCATTACGGCCAGCGGACTGGCAAGACCACGAAGCAACTTTCTGCTGACAGTCTTTCTTGCACGACACTTCTCAGTTTCATATTTTGTTTAAGCCGCTTGCAAATACACAAGATCCTGAGCGTTCTGACAAACACAACCAGCCTGCTTGGTTGTTCCCAAAGAAGCAGGAAGGTCGCTTTGCCCAGGCCCAGACTCCTCCCGGATTGAGAACGAATCAACATGCAAGCTGGGGCAAAACCGATGTGGCTGTGAGGTGACAATGATCCGTCGCATTCCGCCGCCCCGAGAGATCCCGAGCGGACAGTTGCAGCTCCTGTGAGCTCGCTGCTGTGGCCTTCACGCATTGAGATGGTCTCGGCTACTGAAATGCCATCATCCTATGCTCGTGGAAAACTCGCACATGGGCTCAGTTCAGTCACTTCACAATCACGTCTTCTGCTTCTTCGTGTCCTCAGAAGCGCTCCGACAGCAAAGCCCCGAAAGAAGCAGCCTGGCCATCGGCGACACGGATGATCTGCTGCTGCGGCAGGGCTGGGAGGTCTACTTCCGCTTCGGAAAGAGCGCTGCCCATGGCGGTGGAAAGTCTCTGTGACCCAGCTGTCACGACACTTTCAGCTGTCAGCTTCTGGGCTTCCGGTTGTCGCATTTCTCCAAAGGCAGGCGGGCCTCGGGGCTAGTGGCTGTACTGCCAAGTTTTGCTGTTTGGTGTGACCTGGTCCTCATGTGCAGCTTGAGCCAGAACATTGTGAAAAGGAATCGAAGGCAGGCTGGAAGATGGCAACATGATTTTGCTTCAGAGGGATGGCTCTTCACAGGCTGCAAAGAACTTTTGCCAGGAGTCCGGCCATCTTCGTCAGCCGGGACTCCACCTCCTCGTCCGAGAGTCGCTCGCCTTGCATGGTGAAACATCCATGAAGCCGCAGAATGGTCCTGTGCTTAGTGCAGGAAGCTCCTACAATGAAAAATCCCAGAAACGCTCAAAGACCTCCGGGCTTAGCCTGGGTCCGTGCCGAGCCTGACTTCTTGAGGATGCGGTCGCAGAAAGAAGACATCAAGGCCGCGAAGGAGAACTGCCGGGAGAGGAGTTTAGGGCTCGGTGTCGCAATTGCAGAAAGCTCCACGGCCAAGGCCTTCCCAATGTCGCGGTTCACAAAGACTTCGAAGGCTGCGCAGATGTTCGAATCAGGCGAAAGAGGTGGGAGCTTCATCTCACGCTCGACTGATGCGAGAGCTTGGGCCCGGGCCTTCTTTGAGAGACTTTTGGAAAAGGGAGTCCTGTGAGAAGCACTCGTGCACGATTCCTGCAGCACATGGGCAAGAGAAAACACAACTGCACCGTCAACGTCTCCTTGCTAGGCTCAATTCGAGAACCCCGCCCCGCCCAGGCCTTTGAAGCGATCATGCAAATCCAGGAGAGTCTGAATGAAGGTTGGGTCCTCGCACGGACTCTCGCACTGTAAGTCCCCTTTGCAGGAAACCCTCCGAGACTCAGGCATTCAATGCTTCCGTCTTGGAGGAAACCTGCTTTTGCTGCTCCACGCGTTCGTCCACGATCTGGTTACCCCTTTCCAGGTCGTGCATCAAAAGTACAGCTCTCTTGGAGCACTGGGACGACCAGCTAGTGTGGGCTTCTGCGCGACTTCAAGTAAGATGCCCCCTCTGGCCTATCAGTCACGTACTGGCGGAACGCCTGCGAAATTGGGTTCAAACCTTGGAAATCTGCCAGAAGGTTCACTGGGCTCAAGAATTTTCCGGCAGAGTTCCAGCCACAGTCGAAGATTAGCATCTGACCATTCTCGACCAGGCTGAACATGCGGTGCATTCTGGCCAAATCCTCGTAACAAACCACTTCATTACATTAGGCTACGGACGAGTGTAGACTGACTGCTTCAAGTTATGCTGCATTGGCAACAGCTGGCCTCCCGCTTGTCATTGTCCAAAAGGTACACGACACCTGTTTCTTTCTCCTGTGACCAAGGAAACCGGCGACGATTGCTTGCACAGAACAGGTATGTACAACCGCACGTGCATCGTCCGTGCAACAGCGATAGGCTGGGGCTAGAGCGAGCAACTGGTTCTGCGGCTGCTGCAGGACTGCAATAATTACTACCTCAGTTTTGCCCAGAATGCGCTGCCATTAACACATTGTCAGACATGGCGACGCTGACGTATCGCGATTGCGATGTGTTCCTGCCACCTTCCGAGCCTGAACCTTCAAGGCACCGGCGTTCCGTAGTTTAGGAAGAGTCGTCCTGCAGGAGCCAGCACGGCACTGTGACACGCAACATTTGGCTCCACACTCTGAGAATAGATGATGCTCTGTTACAAGCGACATCCGCAGGTCCCATGATCGACTACACCTTTCACAAGACCCGGAGTCACCAGAGTCATGGGTTGACATCCGGCCTTCAATCTATTACAACCTGAGCACCCTGCACAAGCATTCCTTGGCTGACGAGTTGAATTGAACACAACTGCGCACACAGCAAATATCCTCAAAACCTGAGCCGAAAAAAACGAAACTGACGTAGAGCTGCCTCAGCCTCGTCTTGGCGGTACAGGAAAAACTGCCCAAGAATGGAATGAAAGCCTGAAGATCCTAAACCCCACGCATCAGCGCTGTCCTGTTTAGGTAACTGTTGCATCGCTGTTCCTCGGCCTGCAACGCCGCCTGCCGGCATTAGCACGAGGCAGGAGGACTACAAACGTTCCAACCGCTTCAACAGCTGTGCGTCTTTGAAAAGCTCGGAGATACTGGGAGCCTTCAAAGGGAACTTCGGGGAATGTCACTGAACAGTATCAGGCTGTGAGGTCTTGGCACTGCAGGAGCAGAAGAAGAGTTTTGTTTCGTTTGACGGATGCCTCGGCTTTGCGCAGGTACTCCGGAAAGGAGTCCTCCGACAGCCAGCCTGCACCAAAAGAAATGCCAAACTCAAGCTTCCAAAATCAAGGAGCACTAACATGTTGCACAACTGCGGAAGAGACAACTCACTCAGGCCCGGTCCTGATGCTTGACGGACGAAATAGCTGCTAGTGGCCGGTAGGAAAGCTTCCTGCATGCGCAGAGCAGCTCCATTCCAGTTCACGCAGCTTTAGCATGCAGCCCCGGCCTCGAATTCAGTGTTGTACAGATTCGAGCTGTTCAGGCCAAGGTCAATGAAGATCTCAATGACGCCTTTGAAGTGAAGTAGAAGTGCAGGGTCACGAGGAGAGGAACCCATGCGACAACGGCAGCAGCCATCAATCAATTGCGAAGCTGCGGAATCAACTCTCGTCAACCTTCAATTTGCCAACGACTTTAAAACGATGACTCTTATCCCTGAAAGCTGGAGGTGAAGCAGCAGAAGGCAAGCACGGCAACACTGTCAACAGGCGCCTTTGACGAGATCCTGGTCGATGTGCTCGCCTCACAGACAGAATGGCCAAAGGGGTAGCCACGAGTACGGCGGTCGCAGTGGCTGCACTTGAGCCTTGTCGCTCCTGGTTGATGACCTTCAACAGTGCTGATCGCGTGTCCTTGATTACGCTCGTGAAAACCTGGTCGAGCAAACGCTGCGAAGAAGAGTTTGGCAACTTAATTCGCAATCAGGCCATTGTGCAGCACAGCCACGTGCCCCTACACGACACACCAAACTGTCCTTGAAAACCGGCTTAAGATCGCAAAGCTGAGGTCTGCTTGTCAGACAAACTCCTTGTGCACAACTCATGCCAACGAGCCTGCTGATTGAAGATGCTGTAGCCCCTGTTGTGCAGAGGCTCCACAGACTGGAGCTTGACGTAGTACCGGTCCTGAAATATTTTCAAGCGCTCACCCTCTAGTTGCATGGAACAGGAGAGTGTGACGAGGTCTTGAGACTCTCCATGATTGCGACATAGTCTTAGGCAAAGTAGAAGCGGGCGCACCAGGTAGGTGAAGAATCTGTCCATCCACTTCACATACAGCTTGTGGTTGATCCACCTGTGTGAGTCTTCCGCTTGCGCCAGTCAGACCCACGACCCACTGGACCCAACCCCAGCAGGGCTGAGCAATCTGTGCCTGTGCAGCAACTCCTTCATCAACGGGACGTCCGTCTTGTCTTTCAACGCTGGCAGGACCTGGCAAGGTTCGCGAGCTTGAACTAGGGAACCCTTGTGCAACACATCTGTACGGATAGACACAGACGTCCCCCAGGCATGAAACCTTTCTGCAAGTAGGCTTGTCCGTGGTGATGCATCGTCGCAGAAGCTTTCAGTATGATGGGGGGGAGCTGGGGAAGACAAGGCAAGTGCTCATGGAACAGCTCGTGCGAAGGCTGGGGTTACGACAGTGTAGCTTGTATGGCACGACTCCGAAACACCTAGTGCCACGCGGTAAGACAGTGTGCCTGGCGCTGCACGTAGTCCGACATCGCCTCGCCGTATCGCCGATAAAGCTGCTCAGACCTGGCTTACACCGAAGCAAGACATGGACAAAACGTATGACTGCCTCATCGTTCCCTGCCTTGGTTCTGATTGCTGCTGCTTTGTGCATGGTTGCTGAGCTGCGGTGGAGTGAGCTGGCGATTGAATGGGCTAAGTACGGTTCGTGTGATGCCCGTGTCCGGCAAAAACCCATGCACAAGCCTCTGAAACCAATACACAACTGTCTCAAGCGTTTGCATCGAAGGGAAGGCTTCCAGTAGCTGAGGCTGTGAATCCAAACCCTCCATAGACACAGTATTACACGCATGAGTGCCATGGTGCAATTCCCACTGAACATGTGTTTTCACCCCCATGTCATACTCAGAAAAGCTGACCACTCATGGACGAAGTCAACAAGGCCGTGCCCAGGCGCACCAGTTGTTCGGCGTTCGCTGAGTGCACATGTTGTACACTGTCCTCAGCCAGACAGAAGTATCGAGGCATCAGAAGCCCATTCTGTCTCGGAATATGGCCTCACACGGACAGCTCCCTCAGCAGCTCGCGTATACAGGTCTGCATAGTTGGCTTTGCTGAAGACATTGCGTGGCTTCTGCGGATCTGCGTTCTGCGGCACCTCAGAGCAGAGGAAGTACATCATAATCGCGACATGTTACCTGCATCCGCTTCAAGGGCCCTGCTGTTGATCTTATATGTCCGGTGTCCAGAAACTCTTCTAGCACCTTGACCGGCTCCCACATGCTTCTCAGGAAACTTGGGCGAGGCCAAACCCACTGGCCTTAATCCCTTCGTTCTTTATCTTCTCCCATCCGTCCTGCAAGTCATGCAAATTGCTGCAAGGGATTCGCAAATCCAGCATAGCTCCTCCAGTGGGACGATGCTGTTGACTGACCTAAGTAGAAATGAAGTCAGCTCAAGAAAGGCATCTCGCACAAGCATTTCCTCGCCCACCGTTTGAGTGCCTGGCATGTCTTCCTCGGCGTCTCCGGAGCCACTTAACTGCTAAACTTCAACAAACCGGACGACTACAAAGACTCAACTTGAGCCACATGTCAGAACAGAACTCCGTAGTTTGTTGCTTACATCACGTCTACAACACGCACCCTGCAACCTACGTCCAAACGTTGCAGCGAGAAATGCTCTGGAAGTGCCAATGTCCTCGCTTTTCTTCTGTCTCGGTACTGCTCGTTGCCTGGTGTCGGGTGCCGATGCTGTCAGCTTTTCCGTGGGTGCCTCCTTCAGCAATTCAACGTTTGAACCTTCATCCAGCCATCCAGCAGGTCGTGACGACTTTTGGCTTGGGTTTGGCATCAGGTGCCCGCTCCCGTCCCTGCGCTCCCTGGACACTGAGCATCTGCTGTAGTAGATCAAAGTGACCCGGGAGGCTGTACAAGGCAGATCCGCCACTACCGGCTGCCCGCCACAGTAAGGACGGCTCCGCAGGCAATACTGCTGCTGCGTGTTCTTGCACGTCAGAAACAGGTCGGCAGGCTGTATGCCTATGTATGCCTGCTGGCCCCAAAATTGGTCGAAAAAGCAGATCCTTGAAACCTTCGATGCTATTGCGACATCATGCGACTATGCGACACTGTAGGTTTTGTCCGCAGGCAACCGACCACCCGGCCGGCGAGTTCCGAAACGGCCAGGCTTCCGGTACCATCGGCTCTGGGAGTCAGGGCGACCCCCGGCTCTTCAGGGCACCCCGAGAGCCTGGCTGAAGGCCGTCACGATGGGGGAGCCGTTGATGAAATCATCCTCATGATTTCACAGGAAGCACAGTGCAGTATGGCACTATGGTGGACCCCATCACGACGGGTGCAGCAGCCTAAAGACAAGTATTTTGCTGTTGCAGCAGGCCCGTCCTCAGGCAGATCCCAAAGCAATCCTCCGATCAACCCGTTCTCCTTGATGAAGGCTGCCTTGCATCGAACGCTCTCTTCGTCATCGAAGCCCATCCAAAGATCATCCTTCTGAAGATAGGCTCCGCAACGGGCAGCATCATATGTCTTATCAGCCCCCTGGCTCAGCAGGGTAAGGATCTCATAGTAGCTTGCAAGCCCGACTTGCTTGCTGTAGGGCTGAGTGGCTCCATATCCTTGTCCTGCCGCTCCTGGACCCTGACCGGGGGTGCTGCTCTGCAGCTGGAAACTGCGGCTGTAGGTCACGAGCCCGAGTGCCAATTTGCTCACACCTAGGAAACTCCGGAACAGTCTAGGCTGACACAGTCGCTACATAGGAAAAGTGTTACACCAAGCAGGAAGCCCCCCCGAGCAGACCTGAGGCGACCGCTGGCGCCTCGTGAGATCCAGTCTTTGACTACATACTCACCACTCAACGGAATCCCACCCCCAAAGGAGTCTCCCTCACCGGCATAGAGCTGGCTATGAATGGCAGTCTTCTCCGGGCTCCAGCCTCCGTACATGTCATACGTCATCAAATTGATGAAATCCAAAGTCTCGTCAAGAGCGGGCACATCGTACGCGTTGTCCGCAGTGGTGGGCCCAATGCCGACCGCTGCGGTCAACAGGAGCGCGTTCCTACCGGAGGCTGCAGCTTCCGCGTCGAACGCGGCCCGAAGCTCACGCAAGAGCGTTGCAAAGTTGGCTTTGTCAGTGACACGGCCACCACGGCCAATGAAACCCGGATACTCCCAATCCAAGTCCAGGCCGTCAAAACCCCACGTGCGACAGAAGTCAATGGAAGATTCCACGAACTTCTGGCGGTTTGCAGCTGTGCTCACCATATCCGAGAAGACGTACTCGGTCCAACCAGAATCGAGCCGCGACATGCGCCTGGCGCTCTCAGCATCCTCACTTGCCGGAAGGTTGAAGGACCAGCCGCCGATTGAGATCAACGTCTTGAGGTGAGGGTGCGCCACCTTCAAGCACAAAGAACGCCTCCAAAATTTCTACTTCGACTTAAGCAAGCAGTAAAGGTTTGGGCAGATTTGAGCCTTGAGATCGTTCACTTGCTCGTAGAGGCCTTTGGTACAGCCGGCAGGCTGCTGGCTGCAAGGTACTTCCCAGTTGCCGGTTCCCCAGTTGCTCACATCATTGTCCTCAAAGTGACGGATCTTGAAGGTACTGCTGTGGATCATGGCGAAGGCGTAGTTGAGATGCGTTATCTTGTCTGCTGCAATGTTGGACGGCATGAACTTGTACGGGGCCGGCCACCATTGAAACCAGTTCGCAAAGTATGCCACGAAAATCTTGCCACTTGTGGTGCCGCCGGGCTGCGTTGTTGCAAGAGTTGTGGATGTGGCTTCAACCACTGATGTGGAAGTTGTGCCCATCGTCGTAGATACTGTGGTTGAGCTGCTGGATTCAGTAGCCGTCGTTGTGATGCCACCCGTCGTGGGTGCGGTGACACATTCCACATTGGCACGCCAGTCGCAGTTCTTCAGGTCGGAATTGAAGCGCTGACCCGGAACACAAAGCTGCATGGACTCGTCTCCATGAAAGCAGTTGAAATATCCTCGGCAGTCTTCATTCCCTGCCATGTCAACCGGGGCCGCATAGAGGCCAACCTTCCCACTGCAGAACTCGCTTGGATCAGTTGGTGAACTCGTTGACGGAGACGGAGACACAGAGCTCTGTGTGGTAGCCTGCGTCGTCGTCAGGCCGGGAGCAAGAGTCGTTGTCTGCACGTCGCAAGCGACGTTCCTCTTCCAGTCACAATTCTTCGTCGCTGGGTTGAAGCGACGGCCGCTGCCGCAGAGCTGCATGGCCTCGTTGCCGTGGAAGCAGTTGTAGTAGCCCTGGCAATCCACGTTGCCCTCTGCATCGGCCGGTGCCGCAAAAAGGCCAGTCTTGCCCTGACAAAAGTCGTCGAAGAGCGAAGCCCTCTTTTGCACCACGTTCCTGTACTGCACGAAGCCGGTGCCTGCAGTGCCAGCTGTGCAGGAGCCACCCCGGCAGGGCTCGGGCTGCACCTGCGGAGGGTCTAGGGTGAGCTTCCCTCAGACTCCCAGCATAACCTTAAAAAATTGCTTGCTGGTCAGAGCCAGCTTTCGATTGAAGTGCACATCTCCAAACAGGGAATAGAAGTTCTGCAGTTCCCTGTCACGCAGCCTCCCGCCCAGCCCCGCCTGCGTGTCCAGCTCAAGCTCTGCTGCCACAATGCCAAGTCCAAGGAGCAGACGTAGCATTGTTCGGGCAAACCAGCGCAGTGTTCAAAGGTTTCAATCGGCCTCCTTTGAGCCCAAAATCTGAATCACGGAACTCTCGTCGTTGAAGCAAGAGGCTGAAGGAGCAAGCCAAAGCAAAGAAAAGATGATGGCGACCAGCTTGCCAAGGCCTGCTCGCCCGGAGCGTCTTTGCTGGACGAGGAGCCTTAGGTTTCTCGCACTGGAGGCCGGAACTTACCCGCTCGATGCAGCCCCGATGTCGCGGGTTTGGCTGCAGAGGATACACACGCACATGGAGCTAGTCCGGTCTGATGTCCGGGTTCGCTTCTTTTTCGACTTGACTCCGACCTTAGGTCTGCAAGCCGACTTCTTGCATCAGTGTCAGCGTAGCCTGTTTCTGATACAAATGTCGGGCACCAGCTTGCGAACAACGTTGCTGTTCTGCGCGCTTGGCGCACCTGCACCCTTTCTACAGGAAGAGCAATGCCGGAAAATGATGCACGTAGATACAAATGCTACACACCTCTGTTTCTACGGCACTTAGTCTATTGCGCCATTCTAAGCACAAACTACGGCAAGCGTTCCCGGAAAGAGCTAAACACTTTGGAACTTTGGCTGACACGGAACCGTGCGGTGCATGCACTCATGTCAATCACATGGTGACAATCACTTGGCCGATTCCTGTGAAAGAATCGCACATAAAAAACGTAACAACAAATCTGTTTCATGGGCGAGTCGAACATGGGTCGAGACGCCAGGTGTGTAACATTGAAACAAGCTGAGAGCTTGGAACTCCTCAAAGTGCTGTCCTGCTAGGAATACCGTCAGACGTGCCAGCACTAGTCTGTCTGTCGCTGAGTGCCACATCTGACTTATGTTGAATGGAATCCTCAAGCGGATGTTCAGGCTTGGCTGTAACACCAGCCTCCAGCTGATGTTCGAAAGTGGCTTCATGAGCCTGAAGGTCCAATTCTAGACTGGCTTCCTTCGCTTCTGCCTTCGCATCCTCTGGAACCTTGCGAGGGTCACGCAGTTTCCGCGGCGACTCGCTTTGAAAAAAGGACTTGTTCGGAGGCAGCTCATCCAAGCCGTGTCTCTTTACATACCGGTTCAGAACAAGGCGAAAGACAAAGGGTGCAACAACGGTGGCCCACAGCAACGCCCAGATTACAATCGAGAACATCTCCTCATCCAGCATGTTGGAAGCTGCAGCCATTTGCGCAATCAAATATGCAAACTCAGCTCGGCCGACCATTGCCCAGCCAATCACCCATCTGGCCTCTCCCATGAAGGGAGCACACAAGACTTTTGTCATGATGCAGGCGACCACACCCATGATGCTGCCTTTCCACAAAGCCTCCACGGAGAGCAGCTGAGAGATGGGGATTGAGAATGCTACAGTGCAGGCAAAAAAGATTCTGATCATCCAAGAGGTCACTCGCTTGGTCTGCCGGACCCACACATGATGTGCATGGTGTGGCGGGTCCAAGGTCGCGAAAGACATGCCAGCAACGAAACAACCCCACAAATGGGTCCCAAGGAAGTGCGTTATGACAGCGTAGATGAGCAACAAGGCGAACATCAAAAAGAACAGCACCTCGTCCGTCCGGGCAACCTTTGCACCCTCCTTTGCAGGAACTCTAGGCAACAGCCAACCATTGATGAATCTTGGCCAACAGCGCACAGCCAGGACTGTAGCGAAAATCATCAGGACAACGCCCAAAATTGGGTTGACCACGACTGCAACAATGTCGAATTCTCCACCCAACGAGAAGAGCACCTGGGATGCATGCAAATTGCGAACTATGACACTGCGACTCGGAGACCACACAAAGGGAGCGCGACAATGCAAACAGTGTGGCCCCACTGGCACTTTAGGTACTTGGGAGGTCGAACACTGTGCAGTGTGAAGGCACATTGAATAGGATCAGAGACAGGATGTCGTCTACGAAGGCAGCGGTGATGATCGCCTGCCCGAAGTTCTCCTTCAAGACCCCGGCCTCCCCCAGCAACCGCAAAGCGATGCCAACACTAGTTGGCGCCAGAGCAGTGCCCGCGGCCACCCCTGTAGGGAAGACGGGGAATCCGAAAGCCACGGTAAGCAAAGTCCCAGCCAGCAAAGGCAAAACCGTCCCCAAGACCGCCACGATGCAGGATTTCAGGCCCACCACCTCGCCGGGGTTAAAGTGAGTGCATATCAAAGGTGAGACGAGTGAGTGGGAGGATGCTCTGACTACTCGAAAACTCCCACCTTGGCTTTCTGGAAATCGAAGTGCATGCCACTTTCAAATATCATCAGCGCGACGCCTGCATGGCCGATGAGGGTGAAGACATCCGGCGTTAACTGACACCCATGGTTGATCTCTGCATGACAGCTCTTCTCAAGGCACTCTTCGTAGCTGTGGTAGCTACCCCCGGCAAGACGGCGATGTGGGTCACTCTGACCCTCATGGGTCTGAACGGCATAGTCCTCCGGGTGACAGAGACCCTTCTCCTGGATCGCCTTCAAGTGGTCCGTCAGCGAGGAAAGATCTACCAACTCGCACTCTTTGGCATGCCTGAGAGCAGCGTCACGCAACCCTAGACTCCTAGACTTGTCAAGACGAAGTTGCTTGGATTCTTTATTCGCTGGCCTCGCATGCGAACACTGGGAGTACTCTGAGGTGATGAGGCCGCCCATCTCAGGCCCCAGAAGCACACCCGTCGCGATGACCAGGACTATATCAGAGATACCCATCGCCTGAGACACCTTCGACGCTGTCCAGGAAGCACCCAAAAAGCCGGTGATGGCAAGCATGGCAACGAACGAGCTTGCCCCCCCCATGGCCAAGGATGCACAGCGTAAAGACTGTTGCGGCCACTATCTGCTCCAGCCAACTGCTGCATGTCCAATACCCCAAGGCTCAGGCCTCCCAGGTCACTACATTCAATGCAGGATGCCAGAGCTGCAGCAACATCCGAGCTCCAATGCATAGGCTTGGAGCGAGGCAGTGGCGAGCACGTTGCACCAAACCTTGACCGCACTTTCTGGTGAACCACAGCTTATGCATGACTACCGGACAGGGCGAACTAAAGCCGTCCACAGAGCTGGCGGCGTACCCGGAACGTAGCCGCCAAAGCTTTCTAACTCCAAGCTAGAAGCCTCCATGGTAGCGTTCGTTTTCGTCCCGCCTTTCACGGGCAACTGGAACATGGCAGAAGTGCGGACACTGCAGCGTTCTGACACACCATGTCCATCGCCACAAGCATCTTCTGCACTGGTTTCAGCTGATGCCGGAGGAAACAGAACGCAAAGACAACGAACGTCGCAAACACACTCTTCATGTGGACGAGCTGCATGTAGAAGCAATTGTCCTTCCAAAGGATAGGGCAAAGGCGACGATAAGGGAAAGCGCAAAATGCCGAGACAATCTGAGCTGCACTGCTGCTGCCGAACAACCACGGTCCAGAGTGTTTATCGTGGGCTGATACAAACGCGCATCAATGCATGGAATATTGGTCCAACCTTGTTAACATCAACAAGCAAAGCGACTCGGATTTTGCCGGACGCGCGTCGGTGTCCGCTCATGTGTTGGTTCGTGAGGAGGGCTGCGCTGTACAGATGACGACTTCGAGTGTGGAGACTGACGAAGGTTAGAGCGGGAGATTTCCCGTCGAAACACCTTGACAGTCCAAAAGGGAGGCACGCTTCCCATGAGCATCAACATGGCTCTCCTCCGAGCCTTCTGTTCCTCATGGGTTTTAACGTACATCCACTTCAGGAACGTTGAAAACCTATGGCCGGATGGCCTATGCTCGATCACGCAGCATGCCCTCAGTCCAGCGCGCCAAAATTTGGGCCACCTTGCCAGCGAAGGCGCCCACCTGCTTGTTCTTCACGAAATATTCCTCGAAGCAACTTCGAGAGAGTCCAGGCGTTTGCAATTGTCGCAGACTGCGGTTTGTCACGTTTTGCTCACTCAAAGGTTCGTTCGTGAGATGGCTCAGAGTGACGCAGATGGCAAGGTAGAACCTTGGCTTCAACCGTTCGGACAAAGTTTCACGTGTAAAGCACGATTGTGCATCCACGGATCGGGAAGAAGCTTGTCGACATGGGCCCGCCCCACAGCTTCTTTGCCAGCACCTGTACGGCTTTCAGGCACGCAGCTACCGGTCGATGCGGAGCCACGAATGCCCTGTGCTGGGTCTCACCTTCTTATAGAAGATCTGCCCAATGGGTCCATGCCTGCAGCACAAGACGGCATGAATACCCTTCTTCAGCATGAGCATACTCAGAAAGTGTGAACTTCTGGGCCCCAAGTGTGCCAGGCTGCAGAATGAACATGGGGAAGGCAATTGAGCCAAGCGTGACCATCGGCTTGGAACCGAAGAACTTCGTGATGGGGGCCTGAGACTTCGAGTAACGCGGTGACCCCAAACTATGTCAAAACATGCTGCTGCCGAGGAGCCGGTTCAGCACTCAAAGCGTCCCGGTGCATTTGGGTCAGGAATTTTGTGAAGAGCGGCACAAACAGCACTCCTCTGATAATGGCATCCTCGGCCGAAAACGAATGTCCGCTGCAACCGCTTTTTTACGGATGACTCAGGCCATAAGGATCGGACATTGAAGTCGAAGCTGGTCAGCCGCAGCCCCAGCGAAGCGTAGGCAGCCAGGAAAAGCCACAGCGGATTCCTGACGAACCGAACTTCCAGTGACTACGATGACCAGAAAGGCATCCATTTCTAACATGTCAAAAGCACCTGCAAAACTCTGCACTTTTCTCCAGGTAGCGTTGGCTTCTTCTTCTTGTCTTCCTCTGTGTCCAGCATCACATGCCTGGCTGCCACAATACCCATCGTCATCTCGATCAGCGCCCAGAAAGGATGGAAGCGGGTCAAGTTCCAGATCCTTAGTTTTCAAGGGCGATCGCAATTTCAGGCTGAAGCTGCCCGTTGCTAACTGCAAGCTGTGCCCCGCACAATGGATGCATCGCCTGTCCGTTGACCTCGGGGCGAAGCAAGAGCGCCGTCAAGCGGCGCGAAAAGCCTGCATTCCCCATGAGATCAACCAAGCCACTGGGTGCTCCTTGCTGCTATGGAAACGAGCAGTTTCCGAGTAAGATACCTGCAGCTGAAGCAGGTTCAAAATGCAAAGCTAAGGGCCCGAAAAGCCGCAAGCCTTCTGCAGGAGAGAGATGCCCGTCAAGGCTGCGAACAGCTTCTGCAGACCTTGGCATCGGCACTCATCACCCAAGGCCCAAGATGCAAGACTTCCGATCTATGGCCGAAGATGATCCAAGGGGCCATTCTTGGACAGCTGCGCAACCTGCGGTAGCACCAGCGTCGGCATGGTGAGGTTCGAGAACGTCAGGGCCGACAAGAACCTGCTCGTGGCAGGAAGCGGCCTCAAGAAACCTGTCACCCCCTTCGCTGGGTAAGGAACCAGGTGGGCTGATTCCAGATCTCTGCTTCCTTGGGGAACCAAGCCTGGCCAAAAAAGCACTGCAACGTCTCCCGGCGGAGCTTTGCAACTTGCACGGCTGCCTGCAGCATGCTGAAGTTCAGGAAGGCACGGAAGGCGGTCGTGGTCCAGGGAGTGTTGTACCACCTGCTGCCCGCATTGCACAGAAACAACCTCAGGTTAAAATGTTGAAAGTCCACTCTTGCAACCCCTGCATGGCATGACTGGCACGGTGCACGCGTCTTGCCAAAATCTCGAGGTTGTGAAACAACTTAAATTCGTGTGTGCGTGTGCCACACTGACCCGAGGGTTTGAGAGTGACATCCTCACTTCCACATGCAGGGGACCGGGAGCCTGGGAGGGATTTTGCTCAACAAAGGCCCTCTTCCCACGCACGTCAGCATACCCTCATGCTGCCTAGCTGTGCATCATGTTCCATTCATCTGCATCTCATTTCATGTTGCATCACTCACTTAAAAGGCCGTAATCTGGATGAGGTGCGCAATGGGTGCAAACAATCACTGCCTCATTGTGTCTGGTCACTAGTGTCTTCAGGGGTGCTTTGATGACCGTCGGGAAAGCATGCAGGCCAATACCCGAATGTCGCTTCTCATCCTGAAAACTCTTTCGTCGTGCAGATGGAGCTGCAGATGCCGAGAGCTGACCCTAATATGAGAATCCCTTGATGTTGTAGAGTCTCTATCTATACTGTCTCCCGTACTGGTGACTGGAAAAGCTTAAAGGACACTCCCTTGGTCGGGGCAAGTAGGCTCTGCGAGCAGCGACAGTGCCGATGAGCATCTGGAGTTAGCCATTCATCCAACAAAGGATGGCGGGCGGCTGTAGTACAAAAAAGCGAAAATGGTACAAACAAGTCTGGTAGATGTGTCCAGGCCCAGGCCTCTCCACCTGAATGAACATCGGAGCAAAGATTGCTGACATCACAAAGTGCAGAGGGTAGTAGGCCATGACCTAAGGTCATTGGCGGCGGCACTCGGGTTGGAGCTGCGTTGCATTGCACACTACATATCACGAAAGGCTGCGGCCCTCTGCCAGAAGAAGAGCTCTGGGTTGGCCAGCTTCTTGTCCTCTGCTTTCCGCTCGCCTAGCTTCGTGGAGGTATAGGCAGACACCTCGGTCGCAGAACGACGTCTCAGAAAGCGTCTGCTGTCGCGATTGTTAGGACCGCGGCATATCCTGAGATGACGAAGAAGCCTCCAACGAGTACGTTCTCCTGCGTCAGCAGCTTCAGCGCCGTCAGATTGCTGGTGCCAAACCTGGCACAACAAGGAGCTCGGCTGCCAATGGATTTCAACTGTAAATACCGAGCTCGCACATTGCCCCGTGAATTCTGGCAACATCTCTGTCGCTTTACGTCTCAACCAAGCACCAAGCAGGACGACTCATGGGCATTAGAGAACCGTGGCACCCCTGCGAACCTGGCGAAGTGTGCAATGACGATGGGGAAGACCAGCGCAAAGCGGCAGCCGTCAATGCAGTCAATCCGAGGCTTCGAGACCTCCGATCAAGAAGGCGCCGCATCTGACGATCTGACACCGTGCATGATATGTACGAATGCATGTATGTATGTATGTACGTGAACGTGTCTTTGCTTGTGTGAAGAAAAGTCTCTCAAGACATATGTAACTAAGAATACATATATGCGGCATGTTGACATGTATACATGCAGTCTCTTCGGGGTCGTCTGCAGGCACGCCTTCACCGGCTTGACTTCCTGCTTCGAGTCTGGTGGCATTGCCATGGCCTTTGCGTCAGCCTGGCAAGACATCCGCATTCAATGTAGCAGTGCGCATTGCCTCATTTCTGCATGAGTCTGACGTGGGTATGGATCATGCTGCCCGGTCACATCGATCTTTTGCGGCACCGTGCTCATGTCGAGGATCCTTTGCTGGAGTCGACACGGAAAACACGGACAAAATGTCTTGCTCAACTGTCCACGGCACGGCAATGGGCCAGGATCTGCAGGCGAAAGCCGCAGGAGGGACTGAAATTCGCTGCTGCTGTACCAGAGCCAAAACAAGAGCTAACGAATACCAGCAGGCCCCGTTCGCTTGCAAAAGGAACAGACAGAAATCAAGCTGCAAATCAGGGTTCCAGGTTGTTTGGCCGCCGCTTCGACCAGTCTAGGACATAGCCGCATAAAATACTAAAGGGTTCTTTGACCCAAGGAATCTCATGGGAGACCTTGGATATGCCTCGACGACTATCCTATCAGGCCAGACCCCTTCGGATGTCACAATTTCCATTGTCCTGACAGAACACCGAAAACTTCGCTGAAACGTTTAAGCAGCTTAAACCTTGGAACAAGCGCATGTTGTCTTGTGGGCCTCTCCGCGGAGAGCATCTGTGCGAGCTTGGCATTGCCTGCACGAAGCGGTGCGACATCTGACCAGCTGCATGTAGACTGAAGACCTTGAGTATTCTCACAAGCGAAAAGTGCAAAAAGTGCCCGAAACATTGATCGATGTGCAGCCAGAGTGGCTTAAGTGTGAAACGAACGAACGTTTGAGGGGCCCCTCGTCACTAGTCTACCCAGGCTCTTGCACGCTGACATGCGTAGCTACCTATTTGATTAACACATGCATACATAACCATCCAAACATCCATCCATATTTTCTGTTGTTGTTGGACACTGGCTGTGAGGCTGATAGACGGGTCTCAGAGTTTCTCGTGGCGACCCCGGCTGAAGTTTCATCCCTGCAGCTTTTTCGGGGCCAAGCAAGTGGACGAGTCGGTAGAGGAGGATATGATAACGCTGCCACGCAGCATTGCACCAGTTAAGCTCCAGACATTGACGAAGTGTTGCACCATATGCCAAGCCGACACACCATATCCCGAAGTAAGGCACTGGCTTTCCATGGCTCGCATCAGTTCCGGGCGCCCGAAAGCGTTATCTCCCCTTTGCTTGGCGCAAACTGCACCATGTTTATGCTTCTGTGTGTGCTTGTTGTGACTGTTGCTCTGCCTTGGCTTAGGACGCTGGGCCGGCAACAGGCGATTCAACAGCCTTACTAGTGACGGCCCACAGCAATGTTGCAAAGTTGCAAGACAAAAGCCGGAAATAGGTTGACCAAACACTTGACTGAAATCGACGATTCTTCTATCCACATCAACATGTGCATCTGGATGCCTTCTTCACGACGCCAGTAGTCTTCAAGCCAAAGCTGGGGCAGACATCGAAAGGCACGACACAGATCTCCGAGCTGCCAGACTCTTGCCCGGCCATGCATCATCAAGCCTATCTCTGCTTTCTTTAAGCACGCGCGTATTCGGAGCATCAACGAGTCACGCTCGTCGTTCCTCTTCGGCGACGCTCATGATTCAAAATTATTAAGAACGATCCCGTAACATGCCCTCAGTCAATGCTCCCAGGGTGACTGCCATCTTGCCGGACACTTCTCCCACCTTCTTGTTCTTGACGAAAAACTCCTTGGTACAGGGGCTTCTCCTTCTCCGATCATGCCCAATGCTAAGCAGAACAAGTGGAGACATGGAGTCCGGCTGACGACCACATGCACGCTATGCGCTATGCCAAGCGTCGTTGGTGAGGTGGCTCAAGGCCAAGCAAATGAGCAAGTAACACCTGAGCGGCGCAACAACACGAATTCAATTTTCAACCACATCATCAAAATGAACAATAACAAAGCACGGGAAGAATCTCGTTGACATTGGTCCGCCCCATAGTTTTTTCGCGAGTATCTCAGCAGCCAGGGCCGAAAACCAGACTCTAAGCAATTGTGTCGATATCTCAACTTGCCTTCTTGTAGAAGATCTGTCCGATTGGACCATGCCTGGCACACGGGATGCTGTATCAATCCCACCTCGATTTCACAACTGTCCCAGAAACTTAGCCGAGCACAGGATGAACATCGGGAAGGCTATCGAGCCCAGCGTGGCCATCGGCTTGGATTTGAAAAATCGCGTGATAGGCGCCTAACAGCAGTACGATTGCTTTTGCAAAGCGACGCGGCCTTTTCCCGTCGTCTCTAACTGCAGCCAAGCTGCAGGATTGGCTGAGAGGGAATCCCTGTGGATCTGCGTCAAAAACTTCGTCCACATGGGCACAAAGAGCACGCCACGAATGATGGCATCCTTAGGACAAGCTCCACCCAGTCTCGCATTTACGTCGCATGAACGATCTAAGGTTGCGTCATTGAAGTCAAAAGTAGTCAGACGCAAGCCCAAGGAGGCAAAAGATGCCAAGAAGAGCCAAATGGGATTCCTGAGCAGATAAGCAGACTCAAACACACTTGCACCAGTCAAAATTCAACATGGCGCCCGCCACATCCCACGTGTATACGATTCAAGCATGAATCGTTGGTGGCTTCTTTTTGTCCTCCTCGGTGTCCAGCATGACGTCGCGAACAGCTGCAACGCCCATTGTCATCTCGATGAGGGCCCAGAAGGGATGGAAGCGCGTCAGGTTCCAGATCCTAGTCTTGGCAGCGACAAGAACAACAAGTTGAAATGCAAGACATTCAGCCACTGAGATGGGGACAATGGGTACATAACCTTTCCATCAACCTGAGCCCCACGACATTAACTTAAACTGTCATGCCAGGCCAAAAACTCTTCATCGGAGACTCTGTACAACTTACAAAAATGATCTCGGGAATCTTTTGCTGAGTAACAGGGTGCTCTTTGCTGCTGTGGAAGCGGGAGGTCTCCGAGTAAGAAACCTCTCTCCGCCCGAGGCAACGCTCTGCACGTTCCTTCTTCATCAAGGCTACAAATCACCCTACTCTGCCTTCTGCAGAAGTGAAATGCCGGTCAAAGCAGCAAACAGCTTCCGCAGCCCTTGGATGTGCAGCATGCTCCGCTTTCGGGCTGGCAGAACCGCGAAAGCCTTCCAATATGCTCCAAGTCACCAGACTTTGAGAGTTGTGCTACCTGTGGGAGCACAAAGGTGGGCATGGTGAGGTTGGAGAAGGTAAGTGCAGACAGAAACCTGGGCAGCTGGAGTGGGCGGTCAGGATTCTACTGTGCTGCATACTCACTCTGCGCACATGGAGAAATTAGGGCACCAGCCATGTGGGCTGATTCCAAATTTCAGCCTCTTTCGGAAACCAAGCCTCGCACGAGTTGATAGCACTTTATGGAAGACCTTCAAGTCTTCTGCACCGAGCCTGCAGCATGCTGAAGTTTAAAAATGCATGGAATGCTGTCATTGTCCATGGGGTGTTGTACCACCTCTGAACTCCAGCAGAGGGATGCAGTCTGCTCGTGTGCTTCCAACGTACCGTAGAGCATTGCAACACTGTGAGCCTTTCAACTTGGATGAACATGGGTGCAAAAATTGCTGAGACCACGAAGTGGAGCGGATAGTAAGCCATGACCTCATGGATGCCGCGGGCAAGGGTTGCACAAGGCTTGCAAGGGAAGCACCATGTGACAATGCTACCAAGTGATATCGAGGAGCCTTCTGCCAAAAAAACAACTCTGGGTTGGCAAGTTTCTTCTCCTCTGCCTTCCGCTCGCCAAGCTTGGTCGATGTGTAGGCATTGACCTCTTTGCATTGCAACATGATGCAGAAAGCGAGCTATCTGGAAGCCTAGCATATCACAACGACTTCAAGACGTTGTACGTTCACACACACCCACACACACACACACACACGCAAGGCACCGCCGTGTTGTCGACTATTGTAAGTTGCATGTAAACACCTGGTGGAAAAAACCTGAAGCTGCTGCTGAGCACCAGGCATATCCGGAAATGACGAAAAACCCGCCCACCAAGACATTTTCCTGCGTCAGGAGCTTCAACATTGTCGTGTTGTTGGTGCCGAACCTGCCCAGAAACGAACCATGATGTGATGGAGCCGTCCGATAGCGAACCAAAACAGTAGAACCGGATAAGATTCTTTAAAGCTTTGCAAGAAGATCAACAACTTTAGAACATCTGAGCAATACACGGCGAGTGTGCCTCGCGAAGTGCGCGATCACGATCGGAAAAACTAATGCAAATCTGCATCCGTCAAGGCAGTCGATTCTTGGCTTGGAAGCCTGCAACAGCAATGGGGACATGAATACAGGCAAGATGTGCGAGATGAGCATTCAAATCTTACACCCTTGAAAGTACACTAGTCATGACAACAAAAAACGGGACCTTCTTCTCTTGTGGTTTTGCTTCCAGTTTCGCATCAGCCTTGCCGGCGTCGGCCATGTCCACCTGAGCTATTAACAAGCGCAGGTGTGTGGCAATTTGGTATGTAGAATATATCATCTAGTGCGTCCAAGACTCTGAAACCGGCACTACACTCTTTTGACGTGCTGGGACTTGTGATACTTGTGATCACTTGAAACTTTCCACTGCGGGCGCACAACTCTAACGCCTTTGATCTTGGCAAGCTAGTCTGTGTTGGACCGCAAACACATCAGTAAAGCTACCCCCAGGTTGTGTGAAACACCAGGAAGGCTCAAAACAAGCCCTGGTTGCATTTCTGGCATTGGACATAAGCTTTGTTAGACCAAAATGCATTTGGAAGAAATTAAATCATGGATCTGGAGTTGGTCGGAGCTCTTGAAAATGGGTGTGTTGGATCGGGATGGGATGCCCGTAACATGACAACCTGTGCGAAATGCAGTTTGCAAGTCTTGACAAATGCATTTTCGGAGGACGTGGAAACCCTGAAACTAAATAGGCGTATAATGTTACTGCGCTGGCTATGGAACACTCGACTTCCTCAAGCCAAAGCCAAACGCTTTGCACATGCCATGGACAGCTTTCCTGAATGGGTTGAAACGAGATTGGATACCCAAACAACGAAAACCATTGCCGTGAGATTTTCAGGCCTTGATCTGTGCTTTTAAACTTACTATAGGTTCCTGGAAGCTACAGCATTCTTCTTTCTCGGACGTGACGGCATGACAGTACGGAAACGATGGAAGGACTCGGCCCGGTTGCATGCTTGGTGCTCGTCGTGCGTTTGGTGCTTATCGTGGAATGGAGCCGACATGCTTCGTTTGTACGAATCGCAAGAAAACGCGCTTTTCTCACAAGGAATGTCAAAGTATGATCATCAATAATGCAATTGGGAAGGTTAGTGTGAGCCCTTCCCGTTGCTCTTATACGGTCCAACAGTTTCATTCATTCAAGTGCAGCCTAGGTTTGACGATAATCGCACGAACACCCTCGTGGTGCTGCCAAGGATCGTGTACTACACACTACTGACATAGTAACACAAATAAAAATCCAAAGTCACACACATGCGGCACAAAGGCTGAACCCTGCCCTGTACTACTTTCGCGCATCCCAGCTTCAGTTCGCTGTCTGACACAAAGAAAAAAGGTCAACCGGCATTCAACTATGGATGGCACTGATGACACCGCAGATGTGTGCAAATCAGCAAAGGCTATCTAATGGTTCAGTTGCAGCGACACTGTTGCCACGTTTCAGGCAATACCAATCACAGTGCTGTGCGGATGAGTTTTTTCGCTTGTGATTCAACTTGAAAATTTCTACTGAAACATCAAAACTTGCAGTGCAGCAGAACTTGACCTTGTAACTGAAAGTCCAACGCCCTCATTGCCTCTGCGCAAGTGTTGTGGACCTGACGTTCTTCGCACACGCACAACGGAAACTTGATTTTTAAACTTTTAATCTGAACTTCCGTTGGACAGCGCAATTGGACGGGTTGCTTGTTAGTCTCGTTGCCATCTTGGATGCACGCGTCTCGTCTCTTCAAACCCTGAAGCGGGAATGTCGCTTGACAACTTGTGGAAATAGAAGTCAAGAACCACACGGGCTTTCGGATCTCAGTTCACGGTTGGAGCAAACTCTTTAAACTTTTTTTGGCGTAGGCGGGCCTCGGTGACAGCGGCTGCTGCGCTCGGTCCCAGTAAGAAACAACAAGATCAAACAAAGATAACTAACACTGTACAAAGTGAAACGAGGTGGCTGCGACATACAGACTCAGCCGGCGAAGTCGATTAATTGCATTCGGGCCTACTCGCTCATTGGCCCGGGCCCCGCTTCCCGCAAAATCTGGGTCGCGCAATGACTTGCATAATACTTGGCCCCGCCGCCCGTAATCGTGGGTTGCGCAATGGCCTACGCATACATTGTCAGCGGCCCATGGGCGTCTGCCGATCGTACCTGTGGCAGCCCGGGGGACCTGGGCGGCCAAGCTCCCAGCAACGCAACGGCACGGTGTCAGAACCCGTCATCTGCCCGAATCCAGGTATAGCGCGGCAGCCTCTTGGCCGAATGGCCAGGGCACACAATCCCCGTTTGTGCTGTGGGTCTGGCCAAGCGGTGTAGTTTTTTTTGGCTTGGGCGGGCCTCAAAGACAGCAGCTGCTGCACTCGGTCCTAGTAAGAACTACAAGAGTGTCAATAACAAAAAATGACTGTACAGACGAAGAGGATTATGCAAATCCTGGTGAGACGGGCTGCGACTTGCAGACTTAGCCGGCAGATATCGTTCAACCTTCAGTAAAGCACCTAGCTGCTACAGCCGCTCAGATGCCCCGCTTTCCAGTTGTACTGGGCAGCGCAATGGCGCACACACATATTGCCCTGCTTGCTATGAGGGGGGGGTCGCGCAATGGCCCACCCATTTCCATGAACCAAGAAAAGGACCACACGCAGTCCTGCCCAGCCTCTCCGACTCTCCGAGAAAGGTCTCGCACGGGTAAAGAGTTCAGGACATTACTACACCACGCAACACCAAAAGGCTACTGCGAGGAATGCTGTGCAAGACAAAAGCTGGAACATGCAAGAAGGAAAGCACACTGTTCTTTTTCGGCTTGCCGGTGAAGCGACTGCTCAGACGTCGGCTGTCCCGATCGGATCTTTGATCCGTACGAGATCGTGAAGCAAAAGCTGAAGCAGCGGAGCAGTCGCAAAAGCCCGTATCGTCATGTAAGCGAAAAGCAAAGGAGCAACAAAGCTGAATAGTAATTAAAGCAGAAACAGCGGAAAGCGATACAAGACTGTCTAGCGGGCTGTGACTGAAAAGCTCCCTGCGCTGAAAGCGTGCCCAAAGGTGTGGGCGGGTGGGAAAGTTTTTTGAAAGCAAGCTGCTGTTGCGTGGTGTATGCTTGAACCCAAGCGGGGCCGCGGGGATGAGTAAGTCCGAAACAACCCTGAGTAAACACAGGAACCGTTCAGGACATTACTACACCACGCAACACCAAAAGGCTACTGCGAGGAATGCTGTGCAAGACAAAAGCTGGAACATGCAAGAAGGAAAGCACACTGTTCTTTTTCGGCTTGCCGGTGAAGCGACTGCTCAGACGTCGGCTGTCCCGATCGGATCTTTGATCCGTACGAGATCGTGAAGCAAAAGCTGAAGCAGCGGAGCAGTCGCAAAAGCCCGGGTCTGAAACTGGCAAGCCGAAACCTCGCAAACGTAGTGAAAAAGGCCAAGCAGAAAAGTGAGGTGAGGAAGCTACTTGCGCTTCCTTGAACCGCGGTTTGTCGGGCCCAAGCTGTCAGCTGACGGAAGCTGCCATTTCAAAAATGTGTCAGCGGGAAAAAGCGTCACTTGAAAGCGGATCTGCCAGAACTCAGAAAGTGAGAGCTCGATGCGGTTCGAGGCAAGAAACTTGGCCGGGAGTTCCGCGGAGCCATCCCATCGAGAAAGCAGGTCTGCGTCATCGTTCTTCTCGCCAGCGATATGGCTGCAGTCCAGAGCGACACCGGTAATCGAGCTCCACATTGAGAGCTTGCGAACGAAAAGATTAAGTGGTACTTTAGAGGTGTAAAGCTTATTACACACTGACTCCGCACCACTATTATCGCTCAAAGCTGGTAATGTCAAAGCCAAGCGACCGGAACCATGGGCTTTCCAAAAGGCCAAAAGCACAAAGCACTGTGCCAGTGTCTCGTAGCTGGAGATGTCCAGGTTGGCGTCTGCTTGCATGGGCAGGCCTAAGTCCAGGAAGTCTTTGACTGTGTAGCGGTGAGCAAACCAAAGCAGGCGTCCGCTGGGGAGGAGGAGCCATCCTCCTACGCCACAATCGTTGCCCTTGCCGAAAGCGTCTGCGGCCGACTCCACCGAACTGGTAGGTGGTGGTCGAAGTGGCCTGGGCCGCCAGTCCCTGGAGCTCAAGTGGGCAAAGAAGGCAAGGGTTTCTCTGCTGGACTCAGATAAGCGCCGCTTGGAGGAACTGGGGTCCGTAACTCGGAGCCACATGCGCTTTGTGCTTACGGGGACTAAAGCCAGGTCTTCCTTACTTTTGAGAGGCTTATGCCGAGCTGAAAGCAAAGTTGAGCCAGGTGAAATGCCCGTGCCCGGAGGGCAACCCGTGAAGCGGAGCTTGTCGTCCAGGTAAGAGTGAATGCCTGGCCAAACAACTGGGCTGATGCTGACATTGGTGCCAAGTGGTCTGTGCATGTCATCATACAGAGTGCAAAGCCAGGGGCGTAAAGCAGGAAGACCATGCAGAATCCACTGAAGCAGACCTAGCAGTTTGTCAAGCTGTTTGCGGCTGACAAGTCGGTGCCGAAGGCATTTCTCCACCTGGCCAAGCAGCTTCAAGCGTTTGAGCTCCGGTAAAGTGTAACAGCCAGCCTTGAAGTCGATCTGCCAACCTATCCAGGTTATAGACGGCCCCATCTGCAGTTTCCGCCAACTAAGCGGTATATTGAAGCAGGCGCAGAATGCCAAGACCAGGGACGCGCTAAGCGGCAGTGCACGAGAATTTTGCCAGAGAAGCAAATCGTCTACGTACAGCATGAGGACGTGTGACAACCAGATAAGTAGGTGAAGGCAGCGCACGAAAAAGCCCCCTAAGCGGGCAAACCAGTGGCTCGAAAAAGTGGCCCCGAAGGGACAGACACGGTAGAAAAAGAGGCGTTCTTGTTGTCTCAGTCCAAGCAGGCCTCTGTCTTTCTCGCGCACAAGTGAAGTTTTGTGCGCTCCCTTCACATCTAAGCTGAAACCCGAAATCGGCTCCTCGTCCTCCCTCGGAGGATAAGCGGACTGAATGTCCTGGAGGCTGGGCAAGGAGAACTGTTCCGGCACCTGGCAGTTCTGGTTCGTGTTGCAGATGCTGTTGTCTATGACCAAGCGGGCAGAGCGACCGGGGGCTTTGACAATGTTCACACGGCCTACCGCAACACGTTCCTTGCCCCACCTTTCGTAAGCAGCCTCCAAGCTGGGAACTTCCTCTATGTAGCCGGCGGAAACCTCCTCCTCGATCAACTCCTGAAGCAGTGCCGGGTCTGCCTCAGCCCCCTGCCAGTTACCTTCGCAAACAAGCAGGTCAGTGGGTTCGTCTGAATTGTTGGGATCACGAGGTCGGAGTGTGTGGCTGCGAGGGATGTCGCTATCGAACCCCGTAGGCACGCCCTTCTGCAAAGCGGGAAAAAGGGAAGTGTCCTTGTCACCCAACATCGTACTCAAGCGCTCCAGTGCAGACAAGCAGTAGGGCTGGCCTTCTGTCACCGAGAAGTTCCAGTCCTGGCACGGGGAGTGAGCGTCCGAAAAGCGCTTGAAAGAAGAACGAAGCCACTCCGTTTCTTCCTCTGAGAGAAGAGGTTTATTGCTGGCTTCAGCAATGTGTTGCTGGAGCCTGAGAGGAATTCTGTTCTGAAGCAGCCAAGATTGCCATTCCTTCCGCAGGTCGTGTAAGCTGTCGGATTGGTACCTTGGGCCAAGTGACCAGTCGGGCAAAGAGTAAATGCCCCCGCCATCCTGCGCGGCTGTAGGCGTTGATGAACGCGGCTTTTTGGGAATTGAGGCCAGCGCGAACTTCAAGGAGCAGGGCGAAACCGAATAAGCTGGTCTTGCCGAAGAAAATAAGTGCACTGCCTTCGCTGAGAATTTCTCGGCAAGCTGGGACGGGTACTCCGCCGTCCTCTGGGACAAAAAGTTCCCGTGTTCGTCCCTGGCTCCTGCGACGGACTGGTGGCCTCCTGCATGAGAACATGTGCTTGCCAGAAAGCGGAATTCACTGTAACTGCAAGCAAAAAGCCACGATTTTGCTATATCCTGTCCCACTGAACATGCCGGGATGTTGACCAGTGAGGCCTGTATTTCGGAAAGCATTTCCTGAACAGGACATAGCGTTAGTGGGTTTTTCCAGGGATACATGCGCGCCTGAACAAAAAGCTGCTCTCAGAAGACATACACAACGATATAGAAGCTTCTGGCTGCTGTGTACTCTAGCTTGCTGCGAAGCGGTGTTCCCTGGCAGACCATTCATGTGATCAGGCGATCGAATGGCTGGAGGTCCACCTGGACGAAGCTTCAAGCGGGAGTACTCCTTGCAGGGCGGCGATCCGTGAGCTAAGCGGACAATCCCAGCAAAACACAGTCGAAGCAAGTGGTCGTAGGTGTCGTCGTTGAGCAGGTCGAGTTGCTCCTCGCCCAGTAGGTCTATGGGCAGACAAGTGATTCCGCATGAAGAGATTGCCGTGGTAAGTGGGTGAGCGGCCCCACAGCATATGTCCAGGAAGAGCTCCACGCATGTCGTGTCCTTGAGCGAGGGCGTTATTGACTGCGGGTGGCCTGGGGTTGCCGGCGGGAGCGGGAAGCACAGAGACCTCAGGTGTGCCAATGACGTTGCATCAAAGCGGTCTAGGCTCTTGCAAGTATAGGCAGTCAATACCCACCGGTCTCCTTGTATCGGAAGTGTACAGTGAAGTGTTTCACAGCTGAAGGAGAGCGGCGCGTGCCAGGTGTCGCGCACCTCACCTGTACCAGCTTCAGCTGCACTGTGAGCCTCGGATGAGGCATCCAGTGGGGCCGGTACCTGAGAGGCCGCCTGGTTCAAAGCGGGGCAGAGCCAAACCTCGCCACCGCTGAAGTTGCCAAGTGAAACTGTGTGATTCAGAGACCCTGCAGCGTTGCCAGAATCTGTGTGTAGGCGGGTGCGAACGTTGTGGCTGACGCAGAGGGAGCTCCAGGAGGCTTCGGGGAACTGAAGCTGCATAAAAGCGTTCAAGAATCGAAGAACGTCTGAAAATTGCTCGGTACGTTGAAAGATGCCCGACCTGGCGCCATTGTCAAAAGCGAAAGCCCCCAAATTGAAATATGCTTCAGAGGCTGCAATGGCATTGTCAGGGCAGTGAGAAGAAGCAGCGAAGGGAATGGAAAAGTACTGCGCTAGAAGCTCCAAGCAAGTAGCGAAGTCGAGAGAGCCTTCACTGAGTGCAGATGCTGCATCGGAAACCGGGGCACGTGCCTTGGGCAGTGCCGAAGTGGCCCCTGCTGAGCCTGACGGTTGTGCCGGCACACTAAGCGGGACGGTCGTGACCTCCTCAGCGATGTCCCGCAGCTCGCTGAAGTGGGTTTCCTATAATGCGGGGTGGCAACATGTTGCGAAGCTGGGTGATTGCCTCCGCAAGCTGTGCCGTCGCTCTTAGGCACTGCGCATCTGTGCAAGTAGCGGCAGGTGGCCGGGTCCTTGCACTGCCCACTCTGATACCTCATGCAAAGCGTCTGACGTTTGCCATCCATGAAGAGGGTGGAAAGCCACTTGCCGGGGGGTGTGGCTTGCTTGTTGTCCTTGCCCTTGCCACCTTTGCCCCCTCACTCAAAGCGCTCTCCCTTCTCGCCTTTGCCGTCGCGGCCTTTGCCGCCGCGGCCACCGCCTTTGCCGCCTCGACCATTGCCTGTGAAGCGGGCCTTCCAGCTGTTGTCCGGGTCGAACTTCGGTTTGGGGATAAAGGGCCTCGGTGCAAGCAGGCTGTGCATGTCCGAGCGCACCTCGGCCACTTCGTGAAGCGCATCGTCCAACTTCCTGGAGGTTCGGATGTAGGTTTTTTTTTCCGACATTGTTTCAAAACTCAGTCAACGTAAGTATTTCAGCAAAAAAACCAACATTGTAAGTATTTTCCGTGGCTCGTAGGTTCATAGGGATCAGCTGTGTTTGGCTGAAATATGATGAAAAATCAAAACCCATGCAAGCATGTGCATTTAAAGCTTGGATGTGCTTACAACGTCCAGGTTTTGAATGACTCGTCTGGGTTCAGATTCAACATTTCCGGTTCAGCGGCTGTGAAGTGTTGAATTTCTGCAGCACACACATGACATGGCATGACAACTCCACGAGATGTCTCAGCATCGAACTAATTCGCTGACTCGGACTGCAGGCTGTCAAACTTGCAATCCCTTCACAAACAGAGGCTGTGCAAGTGACCAGTTCTTTTTACGCCACCCGCTGGAGCCACTCTCGAGCAGCAGTCGCCAAGAACCGCTTCAAAGCGGTTGTGCCAGCTGTAGCAGCATGACATCCAGCAGCCTTGGCCCAAAGATTTTGCAACCGCCCACGGTTTAGGCTTTGAGGGTAAGATCTTAGCAAAAACATCTTAACTGCAAACCGAGTGTCCACAGCACATACGATGCGCACGAAGTCTTCGTCTGCAAAACATGCGTTCAGTTGAGGATTCAATCTGCAGCGTTTGCATCGGTACCAAAGGTGCAACCAGACGTGGAGCCTCAGGATTCTTAAGTCAAGGTACGTGAACGAAATAGATTCAAAAGATGTAATGTAGTGACTACGTGAACGAAATAGATTCAAAATATGTAATGTAGTGACTGCACAGTGATAGAAATTTCAGACACGTCTGCCAGACATAGTGACCAAGGAGCTTTGGCCTAAGCTTGTACAGCTTCTTGCCATCGCAGTAGCTCGAAAAGGCTAGCCAGTTGTATCCCAGAATGAAGCGCCTGCAAGCCCGCAAGCCACGAACAGCATTCGAAGGGGATATCTCATAGACAGAAGCGTCCAGGATCTCGATATTCACTGCCAAAGCACGAGCCGTCCTGGAAAATTGGAGAATCTGTCACGATACTTCTTCCCAAAGTCTGAAAGTCGGAAAACAATCGCATTAGTGTCAACCTGTATACCCTAAACCCTAAACCCTCCTATACACATATATACATACATGTGTATATATAAATACACATATATATTTACATATACACATACTATGAAAAAATGGTCTTCAAACGAACTGGCATCCGATGGAGCTGGTTGCCAAGCTACATCGACATCACGTATGCATGCTCCAGTCGCCGGCCAGCAGCTTCGGACCGGGCAAAGGCAGGTGTGATTTCTGCCTGGGCATTCAACTCAATCAGAATCGTGATATAGAGAAGTGGAAGCACAGCTGCATACATGCACAAATCTATCCACACATATGTGGCTGCTGCATGCTGCCAGAATGCTAGCCACATGCTCACGAGTTTAATATCCCAACCCTTGCAGTTCAAACTCGGGTAATCCTCACTGAATGAGAGTTCATCCAAAGAAAGAAACAGGCCATTGGATTTTGCCCAGCAGTGCAGCATCTCGGTGGCTCGCAAGAGCTGGTTGCCCTGCTTCCCAAACATGTCGACAACCATGCTGCCGCACAGTTCTGCAGCGAAGCCTCTGTATGCCACATGTAGGGAATCATCCCAGATCAAGCGATTGCTGAATCCTGGTACATGGATGATCGGCGGCGGGACGTCCAAGTTGCCCATGGTTGTCATGAACTCCTCGATTGCATATTGAGTACGGTTCGTGCAGAAAGCAATGACACGTCTAGCCACTCAGATTATTAAGTGCGTGCTCTGTCCACACTGATTGATTCATGAGGTCCTGAAGGGATTCCTCCGAACCATGCCAGCCAGAGTCCGCAAAGTCGTTGAGGTAGTGGGCCGACCCATATCCCAGAAAAGTTTTGCCATCGCGAGGGTCGCTCGTACTTGCAAGCCTGAGAAATTGCGAGACAAAGAGAATCACTGAAAGGTTTTCATCCATGCAATCGACAACACGACCTTAAGTACAGTGGCGCATCATAATTGCAATTCAGAAGCTTGCAAATATGGCACATCCTCTGCAACAGTATTTTCTTGTCAAAGTACGTGGTCATAAACTTGCAACACGCGATCAACAGAGCCGTCCTGTTGCCACGCGCAACACCGTTGCCCTTCCAATGGCGGGGACTCAGTTATGGCATGGTGATCGCCAGAAACAAAGGTCGCAATCCATGCATGCATGCAACAAACAGCAGACTTACAAGTCGACATACACATGAGGCTGTCGCAATTTGAAGACTTGGGAGAGCCATTTCAAATCGCCTTTGATCCCGAAAAAATGCACTCGTCGTTCTTGCCCATCGATTGTCGCCGTCCTCCGTTACACATGTGTTTGTTGCTCAAGCCAAGCTCATGGTAGAAAAGGGTCTCTCAGCAAACACAACTGTTAAAAGAAATACGGATGAAAGCTGGGGCACAGATTTGCCAAATCTTTGGCAATGAGATTGAAAATACAATCCACCGTGGTTGCTATCTTCAGACGCCGCGCCAAAGGAAGCGGTATCAACAGCTGTCCGGGGATAGCACCTGTTTTATTAGTATATATATATGTATACATATAAACATGGACATACATAAGTAGTAGTAAAAACAGACACATGCACGGATGTGTGTGTATATATATATACATATATATATATATATATATATATCTATACATGCATACATACATCATGGTGGCGGACAAAAGTTCAAAAGAGGGTACAAGACATGAGAAACCACATCACGAGTGGAAACCAAGGCACAGAGCGGCAAACGAGTCATGATCGTGTCCTCAGATGCAGAGGAAGCCAAGCTGTGCCAAAGCAAAACACGGAAGGAAATACTTGCCCTTCAAGTGCAACGAAGCATCTCCGTGGTTGTGTGGAAAACTCAACGACATCACCAGTAAGTTCTTGTTCTTGAAGTAGGGCCCCTCATCGCCGTGGATGCGTAGAAACACATCTTCAGGTCCTGTCAGATCCAGCAAACATGTGCAAGACTGTATGAGTTTGTTTTTTTGTTCACAGGAAGTGCTTGCGCTCACCGCACCTGCGGAGGAGAGAACCTCTCGCAGTTCAGGTGATTCTTGAATCAGATCCACAAGCCTGAGAGCATTTGCACAGACGGTCTGGGGAGGCCAGGCCAATTATATATGCAACTTCCAGCAGAGCCGCAACTGCCGATCTTCAGGGGAGCTGCGGCCATACACCATGTGCTTCAACAGCTTCGGCCGCTTCTCAAGCCATTGGAACCAGGCACTGGGGCGAACGAAGCCTGCATGGGCGAGGGCACAATGTACAATTCACGTGACGGGTTGTCGTGCAGAAACCGCGTTTTCCATGTTGCAGAAGCAGACTATGTATATGATCATATATGACATTATGACATTGCACCCGTCTGCATCTAGCGATGGCAATACTCTGTATGATTGCAGATGAGGCGCTGAAGGTCCGCTCGACAACTCGTCTCTTCACACTCACAGGCAGCTTTAACTTGGTCACGTGAGGCAGCTGAGATCGGAGCTTGCTGTGAAAAACTCGCTCGTCTTTGATCGAAGCCAGTAACCTCGTCTGATAATTGGCTGATCCTTCACGAACTGCGGCTCCGCAAACCTCCTGGCACATGAATCGGACGTCTGCGCCTTTCTTACGCAATGATTTGAGCATGACGTCCGCCATTGGTGTCGACACCATATGATCCAATGAAGAATAGCTCTCGTCCATCGTCTTCAGCTCTGGCGGCAGTTGTGTCTCTGACCAATTGCCACGGTCTTCATCACAGGATCGCTTGAGTCGCTTATTCGATCTTCTCAGATAAGCCAAGGCTCTCGTCCCCAGTCGTGGTACTCGAGGCAGCACAGAGGAAGATGGCTCGTGCCTGGGATGCACTGCAAAACAACTGAGCATGAAAAAATCTTGCACTGCAAAACAACTGAAAGTGAAAAAATTTTGGACTGCAAAATCTTGTACCACAAAACATATGACCATGAAGGAATCTTGCACTGCAAAAAAAACTGAGTATGAAAAATTCCTGAAAAATCTTTCAGTGCAAAAGAGCTGAGCCTGAAAAAATCTTGCACTACAAAACAACTGAGAGTGAAAAAATTTTGGACTGCAAAATCTTGTACCACAAAACATATGACCATGAAGGAATCTGGCACTGCAAAAAAACTGAGTATGCAAAATTCCTGAAAAATCTTGCACTGCAAAGCGTGAAGAACATGCAGACCAAGGTGCCGCTCTGAACCAGCTTCACTCGGAGCACCAGTGTCAGCACCTGCGTTGGGGATAGCACTCGGTTAGCAGTCCAAGCTACAGCTTGCAAGCACAAAGCAACTCGATGCACAACGACCTACCTGACTGCATGGGCACACATGGTACGTGACGTGACGGTGCAAACTACTGCAACTGCCAAGTGAAGCTCATGTTTTGCGCGAGCAGATGCGAATCTCCGGCACAGCACTGGAACAGAGGCCGGAAGCTCCCCAGAAAATGAGAAAGATCAAGATCGGTGCATCGATTGATGCACCAGCAGGTCACCAGCAAGCATCGTTGCTGGTTGCAGCCCACGAGCCCTTCCACCAGAGCTCAGGATCCCTGACTGTCGTTTTCCTGCTTCTTGACAGATCGACAGCAGCCCTGCGCAAACTCCTGCTGCAAAATGACTGCTGAGACATACTCTCATGAGAAACTTTAAACATGAGAGTACGATCTGTCGACACTGCGGCGCTCCTCCTTGCTCACGTAGTTGAAATAGGCACGTGTGATGTCCTGGACATGATCGGTCCAAACACATGACATATAGAGTTCCATTGAAACTCTATATGTCATGTGCGTGGATCGTGCAAGTGTTTGCGTCCTTCATGGCGTCGGCCCAGGTCTCCTCGGAGGCTGAGTCATCGATCTTCTTCAAATCCTCAATGACATGCATGCAGAAACCCAGGCATAAATGAGCACTATATGAACTTCAGAATGCATGTTTTGAATAAAGTGCAAACGGGCAGCACACCATTTCCCATCCATGGATGCTTTTGCATCCAGCAGGTCACCCAGTGCCTTGGCCGAGGCATCGTGGCCGTGAAGTTGGAGCTGAATCTTGGCCACCCCACCGGCCTCGCTCAGATCGCCAGGGCATGACATACATATGTGTGCAGCGAATGTGTGATCTGCATGAATTCCAACCCAGCCTTCTGCAGCATGACAGAACCCAGGAGTTCTTTGGTCGCCGTGCGATCAACGATGGGGAAAGCCGAGTTCAAAGAACTCGGCTTGGCTTTGCGCACGTCAAAAATCGCTTTCGGGTTGTCGTTCTTCTTCTTGGCACTCGCCTTCGTCTTCGCCTTTGCCTTCGGCTGGCCATCCACGGGGCCTGCGAGGCATCGATAGGAGAGAAAGCTCGTATGACACAACTGCATGTTGGACACCCTTAAGCATCACCTCGCCTGCAGGCGTCAGCTCGGCCGCAGTCTGCGGCAGAGTCTGAACTGAAGCCTTAGAGCCGGTCTGAACCTGAGCCGTCTGAACAGGCGTCGGCGTCGACGGCGCCGGGATCGATTGTACACCGGGGGCCGGTGTGTAGTCCAAGAAAGCAAGAGGCTCTTGGCCAGTCCTTAGCATATAAAAAAGCCCGTACAACGGGCTTTTTCCATACATGCATATGACAACGAGGAAGTTGCAAACCAGCTGCAACTTCTTCAGAAGCTCCCTCGCCTCTGGTCGCTTGTCGGCACACAGCGGCACCACCTTAGCCTTCAGTTCCTCCATCTTCTGGAAGGACTCCTCCAACCGGTCTTGGATGACCAAGCGATAAAGCTTCGCGCTGGGATCCCGTTTGAGATTGGGATCCTGCTTGTAGCCTCAAAGGATCGATTCATGCCCATGTCTATCTGCAAATGCAGAAAATCCATATCTTGAGTGGATCGTGAGATTGAAATCGCACATATCATTGAGCCAAGGCACGGCCGTCCAGGATTGCTTCCGCAATGGCGGCCTTCGCCTTGTCACTGTTGTTGTGGTAGAAGGCAAGGACTCCCTCCGGCGTCAGGAAATCCGTCAGGTGTGTGGACTTCCTGCCAGCATGGGCAGAAACCATCGAGTTGAAGATATGTACCGGCAACTGAAGATCGAATCGAATTTGTCGGCACAGTAACACATGACAGTGATTGCCAATATGGAGTATCGAAGCAAACTTCTGGATTTCAACGAACTCTCACAGTTAATTGCTGAGCACCAGGCTCGACGTGTTGCTCGGAGAGCAAGATCTCGGCAGTCACACTTGCCACGCTGGCATTGGCCCACCAGCGTTTCAAGAGTTCCTTTCGGACTGCCCCGCCAGCGTGCCAAGCCTGCACCATCTCCATGCTTGCCCTCTGGTAGTTCGTGCAGCATCGCCGGCAGTTCTGAGTGAGGTTTGCCCACTCATCTGCAGTTGCCTCAGATATTCTAATTCAGAGAAAACACGTTGGATCGAGATGGAAGTCTGGATTGTCAAAACTCTTCAATATATTGATGCTTTCAATTGGGGCCGGCACTGTTTCCCAACCGCGGCCTTCATGGCCAGCAGCAGAAGCAGTGGGAGCTTGAGGAGCAGTTGTTGCCGGTGGCTTTGTTGCCGGTGGAGCAGCTGTAGGAGCAGTTGGTGCCGGTGGAGCAGCTGTCGCTGGAGCGGGCGGGCACTCAGGGTTGGCAGCAGAGCTTTCGGAAGGGGTCTGTTCAAAGCTGACCCGACGCTCGTTCAAGAAAGCACTTGAACGTTTCAAAGCAGAAGGTCTGGGCGACGGTGGCGCCCTCGTGCTTGCACTGGCGCCGCTAGCAGCAGCCTCGTCCAACTCAAGTTGCAGCTGCTTCACCTTGGCCTTCCGCTCCTCCAGCAACCTGAGAGTCTCGGCC